TTTTATTAAAAAGCAAAAACTTACAAAGAAAATGGGGCTTCTGGTCACATCCCAAGGTTGGGCCCAGGGAAAACTGAAAATTTAGAATTTGAGGATTTAGGTTTGTTACTTAATAGCAACTTGTATTATCTTGAGGCTGGATGAAACACAGATAATCATCTAGTCCACTTGGTACGATAAAAGATAAGGAAAAACCAAAGGACAGAGGGGTAAAGGCATTTCTCCAGAGTTCATGCAGTGTATTATTTCCCAGTGTCCACAGATACAAATGACTGCTGCCCTGAAAGGCATCTACGGGCCATTCTTGAGTGCAGCGGATCTGGCTGAGATGAGGTCAGCTAGTGATTCTAACCGGTATTTGATCACAGACCTCTGGCACACCGGTGCCTTTCTCTGGCTACGGCGTTTGTCTAAAGGACTGCATGAGACACCATGCTGGCTGGGCGAATCAGAAACCAGACAAGTTCCCAGGAAGTTCTCTTTTCTTTTATAAATAACTTTGGTCTGATTTTGCCATTTTAATTCTTTAAAGTCATAAAATAAAAAGTTAACCAGAAATGATTTAAAAATAAAACCCCTGAAGACATAATACTGCTGGTTTTATATTTATCTAAGAATCAAACTTCCCAAAACAAGTCAAACCACTTGAAGCTGGATTCTGGTGCCTTAAACACCACGACCTTTGTGTGTGTAGCAAGAAATGTTTGGTGACCCAGCACGGTGACATGAATGATGCTAATATTTTCCTCTTTTAACAGACAAGTGTAACTGGATATGCACTAACGTGGCAAAGTTCAGAATAAGCTAAGTCTAGTGATCGGAAAACCTCAATTACAGAATATCTTCAAAAAACAGAGTTGGGCTTCTTTCGAGTTGGGCTTCTTTCAAGTTTAAATAAAACATCTACTGCGAACTTTAACATTATGGGTACTACAGGCACATCACAATGACTGGCAGCAACAAATATTCTTGCATTAAATGTGCATACAATGATTTATAATTAGTATGTTTCCTCAGAAATGGGCACTTCTGAAATGAATAAGGATGTCTGAGAACAGTTCTATGTAGCAACATTTGTAGAGCATATGACAATTTTAAAAGCGTATTTCTATATCATAATATCTTTCATTCTCACAACAGAACTGCTTATTCAGGGTTATGCTGAGATGAAGAAACCGGGAACAGCTGGACAACAGGAGATGCGAGACTAAAAACTAGGTTTTCTGCCTCAAGATTCGTATCTCACACTGACCCCAGAATCTCTTTGTAGTATCAATTCTCTTATTTAATCCTCTCTTTTTAATCACCAAAGGAGAGGTTCTGTACCAGCTCTAAGAAACAGATTACAAATTCTAACATAAGAAGAGTTCAAATAAATGGAGTTCTCTTGGAAACAGAAAACGGGTTCAAAATTTTAAAAGATCGCTCTCAAGGCCTTAGCCCTTTAAGGTGTTTGCTAAGTGCCAACTCTACTGCAGACCACAGTGGCTTCATGAATGAGGCACTGAAACTCAATAGCAAAATCTGTTTACTAAAAAGATACAAAAGAAGTTAGATAATGAAAGAGACTTATTCAAATAGGGACTATGAAAACATTATGTCTAAGCTCAGAAACACCAACTTTTAAAATAAACACTCTAAATCGGTGTCCAAATCCTTCATCTATCTTGCTTACTACTACAGAACATGTATGTTAGCTTTGGATGAATGGTGTCTGAGACAGATTTGGTACTTGGCACATTTTCAGTGTGTAAGAAACACATTCTGCACATATAGCTCCTTTCAGAAGAAACTGAGAAAGCAGATGCTTGCTTACATGAGAAAACAAGCCATCTTATGATCATCAGTCCTACCTCATCCATCTTCCCAAATAGTTTTTGTGACAAATTTCAGTTTACAGAAATTGTATTTCAAGAAGCTGTCCTTCCTCACTGCAGTCACACAGTCAGAGCCGCAGTGCACGTGCTGGTGTGGTAACATCACGCTGGCAAGAGCAGGGCAGCTGGTGCCAGTGTCTCTACAAGCAGCCCCATGTTAACCTGCCGAGTCTTTATGCTCTTCATCTCCTGCTGAAGCCCAGTTTTTGTCTGGGAATACAAAACCAACTAGCTTCTTATTGAGAAGGAAGTTCCAAGAGAGCTCACTCTGGGATAAACATACTTTGGAAGTATTAGTAAGACAGGAAAATAGACTATGTCTTTGTATGACTAATAAAGTAAGTCTAGAAACATTTCAGATCCTTTTCAATAAATGTTTGGAGTCGTAAGAATTGAATACAATGATGAGAAAATGGAAGGACTAGAGAACAATTATGTGCCAACAAGATGCCTACAACACAAACTTTATGCGCATCTCAGCCTTCTGCCCTAAAAAAACAGCAAGAAGGAATGGAAAAAGATTGGTTAAAATAAGAGGAAGCTAAGAACTTCAAGGGAAAAGAAAAAAAAGGAATGAAAAAGGAAAACCCAACCCCAAACCTAAATATACAGATTCTTGAGTTATTATAGTGGCTCCTGGCAAAGTGACAGAGTAAAGTTTTATAAGGAAACTCCAAGGGCAATGAGTCAAGGTGAGTCAAACTATGCAAAGCAGGAAGGCCTGCCAATGCAGGCACTGTTCCCAACACATCTCCTCCACCGGCTCTACCACAAGTCAGTAACGGCAGCATGGAGGCCCCTGAACCTGAGTGCTGCTAAGTTTATGTTAAGCAGGACATATGTTCTGCTCTTTTCCCTTGGGCAATTTAAAGGGCCTCATACCTGAGAATTTTCTCTCCTAAATTTCTAATTTTGCAGGAAAAACAAAAGATCTTCCAAGAAAACAGCAAATAACAAATCAATTACTTAATGTTGTTAACTTATACTTCTTAGGACTCACTTTAGATAGATATCTTCCAACTGGAGAGTCAGTAAGTGCGTGCCAAGACACCATGGACGGCCTGGCGTTTCATTTAAATGCCCAAGTCTAAGTATGTACTGCCCCATGAAAACAACTGATATCATCTCTATGTAAAAGAACATCAGGCCGGGTGTGGTAGCTCATGCCTGTAGTCCCAGCTACTCGGGGGGCTTAGGCAGGAGGACTGCTTCAGCCTGGGAGGTGGAGGGTTACAGTGAGCACAGCTTGTGCCACTGCACTCCAGCCTGGGTGACAGAGCAAGACCCTGTCTCAAAAACAAAGCAAAACAAAAAGAACATTTTAATTTCATTTTTTGATCATGTATTCTCATGAAGGAGAAGCAATTATGGTTTAAAAAAGTTAGCAAATGCCAGCTGCCCCTTAAAGGAGACACAAAACCTAGCTATATCTCAGTTCTGCCAGTAACTGCTGTGCATACAGTTCCTCTAGGACAAGCTTGTCCAACCCGTGGCCCAGGACAGCTTTGAATGCAGCCCAACACAAATTCAAAAACTTTCTTAAAACATTATGAAAGTATTTTGTGATTTTTTTTTTTTTTAGGCTCATCGTCTATCATTAGTGCGTTTTATGTGTGGCCTAAGACAATTCTTCCAGTGCGGCTCAGGGAAGCCAAAAGATTGGACCCCCCTACTCTAGGACCTTCCCTCCTTACCTGGGAATCACTATATTGATCGTACCAGCTCATCTGGTCTTCACGTTTTTTAAATGAGCTATTATAAATGAAAAGTGCTTTGTTCAAATGTGAGTGATTATCGCCATCATGCAACCAAGCCAGATTTTGGAAACCCAGTCATTAGTCTGAAAACACATCCATCCCCTGTGTACTGTGTGCTGTTTTCTAGGACTAGCAGGTGGAGAGAGGCCCAGTCTGAGGACAAGACCTTCGCCCTTGCTGAGCTACAATTGTGGTGGAGTTTTGAAGAGGTCACATCAGTCCCTGCTCAAGCAGCCACACAAATGCCAAACAGAACTACGATCTACGGTCTCTCTATGTAGATGGAAGAATTGTGTTGATTACAATTCCCTTAATCCATGAGTGTGCTCACATGACAGTCACACATGAGCCAAGAGATCAAACCGGGCAAGTAGTTATGTCTCACTTTGGGGTCAAACCCATTATCTGGCAGGCTGTTTTCTGAAGTTCCAATATATGATTTTGTTTCCCACAGTTCATTTTACTGAAGGGTGTCACTGAATCATTTGTATCAGGACAGCTCCAGCCACCTCCCCATTCTCTGTAGGCTTCTAGCTACTTGAAAGCCTGGTGAGGCACAGGGGTTGGACAATCCAGTAAGTAACAGGCTGAGTTTCTGCTGAGTGTGCACCCTCCATGGCACGTGTGCAGGATACAGAGACATGTTCTGCTGCTCTCTACCAGGCAGCTGACGTCCCAATGCCAGGAACTGCAGAGATGGCTTGCTAGCGTTTTAAATACTCAACAGCGAGTGGAGGGGGCACAGCAGGGCTGCCTCCACTCAGCCTCATCTTGCAGAGAGAAGCACACTGAATGCCGGCAGGGAGGAAGGTCAGCACAGCCGCGTGCTACCCGCTGTTGGCAGGAGCTGGGCTGGAACCACCCCTGGCCATCTCATTTAATTCTCATGAAAAACTCTGTGGAAATATCCATTCCTGTTTTACACACAAGGAAACGGAGGCTCAGAAGGTGAAATGACTGGTCCACATATTTGGAGCAAGGAGGCATTGGTTCTGGGACTTGCATGTCTGCGATTCCAAAGCTGGTCTCCACCTCCCACACCAGACTACTAGAGGCTAAATGCCAGAAAGCAGCAGCAGACCCTTCCCTCCCACAAAGGCAGCCGGAAGCCCAGGCGTGGAACACATCTCAGGGACAGGGCAGGCCTGTTGGAAACAGCGAGAAGGAGCTGGGAACTGAACAAATGGCACTGGCCCTGGAACTGCGCCACTGCTCAACAAGGACGACAGTAATGGGGACTCGACATGGCCGAGACCCAAGGAAGGGGCTCTCAAGCCGTGGGCTGATTCTGATTCCTCTATCTCCACATCCCAGCAGCTCCCCATGACCCGCCTGTTCAGCACCCCTGGCCACGTGACTGACTCACCTCCTTATGGGAGTCTTTGTGGGCTTCCAGAGTCTTCATAATCGTCAGCTCGGCGTAGTTTTTAAATCTTGCTGGTTGATTTCTCAGAATTTCCCTCAAAACTCTCAACGCCAGTGCTCGAATAGAATGCTAGAGTACAAGGGGAAAGGAAGACATCACCAAACACCACACGGCACTTTCACACACAGCAGTCAGCAGGTTCGGCAAGGCCAAGCACCCAGTTCTGGGTTCCCCGGAACCTTGCAGAACCCTCTACACAGATCACATGGTTTACTTGAAATCGGCTTTACTTGACACTGGCTCTCTAGACATCAGCTCCATGAAGGCAGGCACTGTGCCTTAGGGTGACATTCCCAGGACCCAGCGCCTGACAGGCACTGAAAAAAGCTTCTCGAACAAGCCGTGCACTCGAGACCAAATGAGGATGATACACCTAAGTTCATTATCAGTTTTCTGGGGGTTTTCAGATTTCCTGAGGCTTCAGCCTACAAATGATGCTTCTGTAAAATGTATGAAAGAATGTGTACAAAGCACCTGGATGTTTCATCAACACAGCCTGTAAGACTGAACTCCACCTAAGGACAGTGGAAGGCCTGTCATTATTCCTGACCTTCCATGTGATGAGATCACTGGGTGTGTAGAGGCCTCAAGTTGGTTAAGGCCAGAGTCATGCATCTGGAGGAAAGCCATTCCAAACAGACTCCTAATCTCAATAAAAGAGAATGGAGTTTACACCAAACAGAGCCAGAAAGTACATCCTGATTCTTTGTCACTCATCTGTACAATTCACACACTAATACACCATTTTCCCTGTCTTCTACATGACATCACTTTGTCTCCCAACAGAGCCAACAAGGCATAACTGCCTTACGAGCCAATACTTTGTCTTTTTTAAAAAGTATTTTTAAGAAGTTTTTTTTTAAAAAAAGGTGAAACAGATTACTTATTACCATTCTTCTACCTTTACTTATCCCTAAACCAAACTATTAATCCGAAGCATCAGAAAGCTATCTGAGTCTCCACAGCATGGCACGCAGCAGCCTCCCTGTCACTCGGTGGCCATGCAAGTCCCCTCTAGCTGGTCCTGGGCATGGCCTGTCACCTCCTGGCAATCCTCCCATCCCCCTTCTCCAGCCCCTCACCACAGCACTCTCTTCTCATTTCTGCTGGCCTACACAAAGCCAATGTGGATGGAGAAAGTTTTTCTTGCAGAGGTTTAATTCTGGTAATTCCCAGCATCTATTCCTGTTTCCATATAAGGGGCCAGCTCCACAGGTGGGAGAAGACAGGACTTTGACCAGATTACTCCCCCTTTTAAGAGTTCTCTGTGCGATGTGCAGATCACAGACCAGGCATGTCACAAATGCCTAGTTTGTCACATTCAAATGTCCCAGCATAATGAAGCTTTTTTATTTTAAAATTAATAATACAAAAATCAGAATCATGCTTCTGGAGCCTGCCACTTGACTGATTAAAATTATTGGAACTCTTAACATATGTAGGGGGGAACCAAGATGGAATTTCATGGAATGTAGCATTTAATTAGGTCTTTTAAAATGGACCTTTTTATTTCTCAATTACATATGAAACAAAAATCAAACTCACAAGTGAAAAAGTGTATCCTAAAAGACCACATTCTGTGCTAATGAAGTTTTAAGAAATTCTGTGTTAAAGCAACTAGATGCAGGAACGAGGTTCCCTCAGCTACTATAAACCCAGTTGCAGACCATGCACGTAAGCCAAGAAGCAGCTTGTTGCTGATAAAAACATGACCTTACTAAACGTGCTCAGAAAATATGTGAAAAATGAACAAATAAATGTTTTGATGTAAACAGTAAGCACAACCCAGAAAGTAAAGCTGAAGCCAAGCCCAGCAAGAAAAGGACATCATGACCCCATGACACGGAGAGGGGCAAGGTAAGGCCAAACCAGCATCTCACGTCTTTGTCCCCGAGGGTCTCCAGCAGCAGGAGCAGGATGGTCTTGAAGTGCTCCTCCCAGACACCCAGGCTGTCCTCCCGCGTGATCTTGAGCAGCTCCAGCAGGGCTCCCTTCCGTTCCTCCACTCGCTCGTTATGGTTGGACAGCTCTTTCAGAAGGTCAGCCACCAGGTCAGAATGGTCGATGGGCACTGGTGAAACACACCACACATACGTCACCTCGTGAGGAAATGCCCGGCACAGGGGCTTCCTCAGTGGTGCCCAGTGATCCTTCCCTTCCTGCCTCATCTCCCAGAGGCGACGCCTCCTTCATGGTTCCCCTCCCACCCTCCCCTCCGCTTCACTGTCCGGCCTCAGCCTACACACCCTCCACCAACCTTCTCACCAAGTTCACTGCGAAAGCAGAGGTGCGAGACCAGCTGTCCAGTACCAACAGTCAACGTCTTCACCCTTCCTTGCTATCTTTTCCCTTCTACTTCAGATAGAGAGGAGAAATGCCTGCATCCGCCAAAGTCCCTTTTCAACCCTCTTATTTTCCGAAACTCTCTCCCACTGCCATGGTCCTGAGTCAGCCCCACCACTGGACAGCCTTTTACCAGGGTCAAATCCACTCCCATACACACATATTCCTCAAGGCCTCCTCACCATCACATCTGATTATCATCCATTCCTTTCTCAAATGTCTATAGCTTTGGAACCAGCATGGTGAACAAATACCAATCAAGGTGTTTGGACTACTGGTGGACTATCTATGTGGAGACTAAAAACTGGCCCAAGATGACTCCACATAGTTACCTGCAGGGCTGTGAACATGGTTTCTATGGCAGAAAGGCACATCCTTTCTCCTCCATGTTCTTTTAAGAAACCTCAACTCTGAATATTCAACTTTAAATAGAGAGGATGAAAAAACAAACACATCAGACAAGTTATTAGGAACTACTTAAACGTGTATTTGCATACTTCTTTAGCTTCTAAGATGGGGTAGCAAACACACAAGAAAGCCTGAAATGGTAAAGAACTCTGTCACTTCCTCCTGCCTTCCTACCTTTCTCTCCTTTTCTTTAAGCCTTTTAGTAAACAGTTGGTGAATAACCAACATTGTAATTTCTACCTTAATCGAGATCTATCAAGGATAAGGTAAACAATTCTATAAGCAATGAAAACAAGTAGTCCACTTCTCCCAAGAAGTGCCAGTCCTTATAAACACTACACCCTATTCGCTCACTGCCCAGTAAGCAGAGTGTGGGCAGAGTCTGAGACGCTACCCACCAGCCCATAAGCAATTAATAGCCAAGTGATTCAGGTTTTCATCCCTACAGCCACTTCTGCTTTCAAACAGAGAACTTCTCTTCTATCTTAGCATTCCCCTACTATCTGATCTCTGCAAGAGGATCAGCTTTCTTTTCTTTGGGCCCCCACTGGATCTGGCATCTGCCTCCAGCACAGGCCTTCTCTGGCACTATCAGTCTACTTCCCTGACAGGCCGTGAGCTCTCTGAGGCCAGGGACTGTGTCTCCTGTGCCTCGGTCCCCGGCAACCCATACACTTCATGACACACAGTAGGCCCTCAGTGAATTTTAACTATTTAGAATTCTATTGTAGGTTCTAATTACTCATTCAAGCTTGAGAAATAAACAGGCCTCAAAACCATAATTTTTTAAAAGCACTATCAGATTGAAATAAACCAAATCACGTAACATGAGAGATGAAAAAACAAATAATTAAGTTTTGGATAAAAATACCGTCGTACAAATACATACTCATCACTCACTAGTTTATTCAATAATGGACACTGATCTTAACACAGGAGCCAGAAAGAAAGTTCTGGCTCTGCTCCCTACTTCCTATGTTATATGCTTACGTTACATTTTGGGCAAATCTTTCTGATCCCACGCTTAGCTTAGCACCACACACGGTAATGCAAGTGGTCAGTGTATGCCAAACCCCTGCCTCCCAAATGCAGCACGGAGGTCAACACAGCTCCAGGAAAACCTGGTTACAAAGCAGGTGTGAGGGGAGAGGGAAGCCTCGGAGCGGTGCTTCACGATCTCACTCCACAGCTCAGGGAGCTGGGAAGCGCAGGTTCAAGGCCTTCACAAAGGCTGAGCCCGTGCTCGCCATCCTGTTTGTTCCTACGCCCCTGGCTTGCCTGGGCCCTGGGTTCTGCAGCAGAGCCTCCCTGATGGTAGAGTTGGCCTTCCCTCACGCTCAGCTGTGGCAGTGGCTACTTCATATCATGTGTGACTGTTTATTTCCTCACTGCCCTGCCACTTGTGCTTCTGTTCACTGCTGTGTTCCCCGTGCCTAAGCACACAGTAGGGATTCAGTAAGTAGTGCCTGAACAAATGACTAAGCAGAAAGAACAGACCCAGCGTCTCCATTTACATCTGATCAGTGGGCCTGGTACTGGCCAGACAGGAGGGAGCACAAGGGAAGCACTTCTGGGTGGGGACAGTTAAGCAAAGAGACACTAACCATCTCGAAGCTGCTCCATGTCGTCATCGAACACAGCCTCTTTCAGGGCAGTCTTGTCATAGGTGTTGATGGCATCTGAGTAGGGGTACGGGTTGTAGTCTCGTGCCCGCGGTCCTGGGAAGGCGCGCGGAGGCTGGGTGTTGAGTAGCGAGGTCTTGTTATCCAGAGCTGTCCGGCCTCCTTCTACCTCGCTGGTGGCAGGGGAGGCAGCACCCCCATCGCGGGACACCTGGAGCACAGCACACTGTCAGTTCCCTTCTGGGACTTGTAATGGACATTTCCTTTGAATGCTCAGAAATATTAAGAGGGCCAGAGATTTTCACTTGAAATATGTATGGCCAGTGACAAAAGGACAGCTATTAGTATTGCAGTGTAAAAATACCAAATCCACAAACTACCATAAAAGGAACAATATGCCTGCATTTGCATCTAGTCTTTACACTTCAAATCTCCTTTACTTTGTAATTTGGTGATTCACTTTACCAAGACGTTTCCTGAGGGATGAAAGGCTCAGAAGCCTTTCCTTGAGAAGGAAAGGCTGTCCACTCACATCCCTGCTCTCAAGGACCAGATCAGCAATGGGGGATTCGCACTGCGGCCCTGCCCACATCCACAGACAGAAGCTCTTCCAACCGCCATCATTAAGTCTAATGGGTGTTATCCATCCCCAAATTAATTCCTTGTACTCTATGTATTCCTGCCTAGTGCTGGGCCTCAATGTGTCACAATCTCCTGTGACAGAGAACTCAGCACCTCCTAGGCATATCATCCTTCTTTTAGATATTTCTGACTCAGAGTTGTTATGCTGGGTCAAAGAACAGGTCTTTAGTATCTTCCGAATTTTGTTTTTCTTTGCTAATATATTCTGAATGTTGTCTTCAACAAATTCAACCGCTGGCCCTCTGACTGGCCCCTTGCCATGGTACTGACAAGAGCAAATCACTTTTACTCTTAGGGTCCTCTCATATGGGGCACACCACTGGTCTAGCCCCTTTGCAGGTGGCAGTGTAGCCCAGCAGGTGTGGGCTGCTGCTGGCAACGGGGCCAGACTGTTTTCCTCATCCCAGGCATCTGACTATCCAACAACGGTGGAAACATTCCAGGCAGCCAGAACACGTCAGTGACACCTATGGCAAAATTTTTACTTGTGCTGATGACAGGATACATTTCTCTCAACTTGTGCTAATGCATTTACACTTTTTTCTGGTTGTAAAAGAAAAGTAGATGTAACATATCATTTTAATCATTCCTAAGTATATAATTCACTGTCATTAAATACATTTATGATGTGCAACCATCACCACTATGTATACCCAAAACTTTCTCATCATCCCCAACAAAAACCCTGCATTCTCATCCCTCTCCCTTCCCCACAACCCCTGATAACCTTTATTTTACTTTGTCTCTCGGAGGTTTCCTATGCTAGGTACCTCAGGTAAGTGGAATTGCTGAGCACATCCCACTCTGTGTATATACCACATTCTGTTTATCTGTTCATCTGCTGATGGGCACTTGGGTTGCTTCCACCTTTTGGCTTTTGTGAATAATGCTGCTACGACACAATGGTGCACAAATATCTGTTCAGGTCCCTGCTTTCAATTCTTTTGGACTTGAATCTAGTGGAGGTGCTAGGATGCATTTGGTTTTTAACACCCACAAACAAAATTTTATATTAATTAAGATGTAAAAAGAATTCATAATATATGCATAGACAGAAACAAATTAAGACCAAAAAGGTATAAATCAAATCTTAACAGAAGTTTTCTCTGGGTGGAAGAAAATTCACGGATGGTTTTAATTGCTTCTTTTTATACGTCTTCTAAAAATACTACTATTATAATGAAAAATTATTTATAAAAGAAAAAGGTAAGCCATTGAACAAGAGGTTTAAAAAAAAACAACAAAAAAAGAGAAGGGTTTTAAAAACTTCAGACATTTTAAAAACAAAGCTCAACTCCCAATTCTAATCATTGTTAACAACAAAACCTTACTACCTCAGTGTGTGTCTCCACGCAGGCTTTGCGCAGCAGGAATCCTGTGTGCACGCTGCCTTCTGTTTTTTTTTTCCTTACAGTGCAAGCATTTCCCACGTGGATGAAGTTTTTGTAACCACCATGTTTAATCACACCACTACATCTACTTGGGTTTTAAAAAGATTTACTCAGATGTTCCCCTTTAATATTTTTGCTACTGTAGATAATGCTGAAATAAGCTACCTTATGGAAATGACATATATATTTTTTTCTTCTGTTGAGTTCTTTCTTTAGTGTAGACTAACCATACTGGGTAAAGAATATGCAAATCACTTTTGCTAAATATAATTTTGCTGAGTTCCAAAACATTGTATCAATTTCCCATGGCACCAACATTACACTAGATCCTTATACTCTTTCTAGTATTAAATGTTATAATTTCTATTAAAGCAGAGCAGAAGGGAACCTTGATACAAGTCTGCTGTATTTCTGTAAGTGACCATAAGGATGGGCTTTCTCCCTATGTTGAATGTCTTCATTTTTGCTGTGTGCACCACCCTCCTACTGCATCTGACATTCATCCTATGGCTTGTCTCCCTAGATTGGGTTTCCTTGTTAGGCTTAAGAGGAGATGTACTGGCTCCCGAATCTTTCACATTTAACACAGTTTTATATTCACCTCAATGTTTTAGCTAAAAATATGGTAAGTGGTGGCTAAGTCAATTTTGAAGCTCCTTCATTCTTCGATTTTCTTTCTTTTTTTTTTTTTTGAGACAGAGTTTCGCTCTTGTTGCTCAGGCTGGAGTGCAAGTGGTGCAATCTTGGCTCACCGCAACCTCCGCCTTCTAGGTTCAAGCAATGCCCTGCCTTAGCCTCCCAAGGAGCTGGGATTACAGGCATGTGCCACCACGACTGGCTAATTTTTTGTATTTAGTAGAGATGGGGTTTCACCACGTTGGTCAGGATGGTCTTGAACTCCTGACCTCAGGTGATCCACCCGCCTTGGCCTCTCAAAGTGCTGGGATTGCAGGCGCGAGCCACCATAACTGGAAAAAGTAACCCCTCATGCATCCACCTTTTCTACTGTTCTTGGTAGGAGTTCTGTTTCCCTAGTCAGATTGCTCCATTCCTCACACTCCTCACAACAAGTCCCCCGCTTCAAAGCAGGCCTCCTTCCACTGCCCTGGGAAACCAGCAGTGGGAAGACGCTCTACTTCCTGCTTCAAGCCCCTAAAGCTGCCCTCCTCCCTAGCTAAGACCAGTCATTCCACCTGGGTCCTAACCTCAGATCCCCACATCCCGAAGGATCCGCATCCAATCATCTGCTCCCCTCCGCTGTGTAGCCAAGGTGCTTCTCTCCAGCGGCCCTGCTGGGAGAGATCTTTCCCATCTGAAATGCCCTGTGATCCTCATTTCTCTCCAGTTTGTTCCTCAACGTCTTCGTCCACCGTGATCTGGTTTCCATTCTCAACCCTGCACTCAACTACGCTCACAAGAGCCAATGTACTCCTGGAAGAAACTAAATTTGGATATTGCAGACTGTAACTACGTGTAAAGTTTATTTAAGAAGAAAAAACATGGAAGTCCAGTGAGTCCATTCTCAAAGGAAAGGTCTTAACTTGACATCAAAACGTTGGCAAGTAAACGTGTATTTTATATCTTTTAGGTTAAAATAGAACATTTAACGTGGATAATAAACAAATAATCCAATGGAGCCCTTTCATTTCATATGTGACCCGTTATCTCTTTGCAGCATGGCCCCTTTGGCTAGAATGTCCTTCCTGAAATAGTCTCCCTTATCTTCCATGCCACTACCCTCTCCTGGTCTCCCTCCTGTCAGCTCTAGCTTCTGTCCTTCCCTTAGTGTTGATGCTCCTTAGGATTCTGTCCTTATCCTTTACCTGGTGATTTCACTTACTCACTTTTCTTTAGTTATGTTCAAGCAACTAATCAATATCTCTCAAATATCGAACTTCAGCCTGAATCACTGGCTGAAACAGACTGGTATATCCAAAGTCCTGATGGATATATTTGCTTAGATATTCCACAATTTCTGCAATTTGCATGTATTCAAAAGAGCATTCATTGTATTTCAAAGACAGCATCTCCTTCTAGAGTAATATTTCACTGAATTGCACTAGCATTTGCTCAACAGCCCCAGAAGACTTCTGATTCTTGTTTCTGCTCATGCCCTATTCAACCCCACTTCCTCCTGAATTATTCCCCATTCCAAAGTTAACAGTAGCCTGTCTAAAATATAAGTATGACTATGCCACTTCGCTGCTTAAAGATCCTTCAATGACTCTAATATCACCAGGGTAAAGTCAGAGCATTGGTTGGGAATACCCCAGTGAGCACATCCTTCCTGAGCTGGCCTCTGCAGCTCTGCTCTGAATCTCCCCAACCACTCCTCACGCCCAGTCTTCTCCACTTCATCCACTTCAAACAGGAAATCACACCATGCCCACGGCCATGTCTTAGTCTTCGAACAGGCCCTCCTCTGACTACAACCCTCCTACTCAACCTGACAAACTCCTCTGGACCTCCAGGCTTCAGTTCAGAGGTGACGACATCCTCTCTTTTGCACATCTGATATGGTTTGGCTCTGTGTTCCCACCCAAATCTTATGTCAAATTGCAATTTCCAATATTCGATGAGGAACCTGGTGGGAGGTAATTGGATCATGGGGGCGGAATTCCCCCTTGCTGTTCTCATGATAGTGAGTGAATTCTCATAAGACCTTGCTGTTTACAAGTGTGTAGCACTTCCTCCTTCACTCTCTCTCTCCTGCCACCATGTGAAGACCTACCTGCTTCTCCTTTGCCTTTCTGCCATGACTGTAAGTTTCCTGAGGCCTCCCCAGCCATGCCTCCAGTATAGTCTGTAGAACTGTGAGTTAATTAAACCTCTTTTCTTTATAAATTACCCAGTGTTCGGTAGTTCTTTATAGCAGTGTAAGAACTAATATTGAAAATTGGTACCAGAAGTGGGGTATTACAATAAAGATGCCTGAAAATGTGGAAGCAACTTTGGAGCTGGGTAATGGGTAGAGGTTGAAACAATTTGGAGGGATCAGAAGAAGACAGGAAAATGAAAGAAAAGTTTGAAACTTCCTAGAGACTTGTTGAATGGTTGTGACCAAAATGCTAATAGTGATATGGATAGTGAAGTCCAGGCTGAGGTGGTCACAGATGAAGATAACGAACTGGAGTAAACGTCACTCTTGATATGCTTTAGCAAAGAGACTGACAGCACTGTGCCCCTGCTCTAGAGATCTGTGGAACTCTGAAGTTGAGAGAGATGATTTAGGGTATCTGGTGGAAGAAATTTCTAAGCAGCAAAGTGTTCAAGATGTGGCCTGGCTGCTTCTAAAAGCCTCTGCTCATTTGCACAAACAAAAAAAATGACCTGAAACTAGAACCTATATTTAAAAAGGAAGCAGAGGGTAAAAGTTTGGAAAATTTGCAGCCCAACCAGGCAGCAGAAAAGAAAAACTCATTTTTGGGAAAGAATTCAAGGCTGCAGAAATTTGCATAAGTAATTAAAAGCCAAATGTGAATAGCCAAGACAATGGAGTAAACGTCTCCAGGACATTTCAGAGAGCTTCATGGCAGTCCCTCCCATCACAGACCTGGAGACCTAAGAGGGAAAAATGGTTTTGTGGGCCAGGCCCAGGGCCCTGCTGCTTTGTGCAGCCTTGGTACATGGTGCTCTGCATCCCAGCTGCTCCAGTCCCAGCTATGGCTGAAAGGGGCCAAAGTACAGGTTGGGCTGTTGTTTCAGAGGGTGTAAACCCCAAGCCTTGGTGGCTTCCACGTGGTGTTGGGCCTGTGGGTATGCAGAAGGTAAGAAATGAGGTTTGGGAGCCTCCACCTAGATTTTAGAAAATGTATGGAAATGCCTGGATGTCCAGGCAAATGTCTGCTGCAGGAGCAGAACCCTCATGGAGAACCTCTACTAGGGGAGTGCAGAGGAGAAATGTGGGGTTGGAGCCCCCACACAGAGTCCCCACTGGGACACTGCCTAGTGGAGCAGTGAGAAGAGGGCCACAGTTCTCCAGATCCCAGAATGGTAGATCCACCAACAGCTCTCAACATCAGCCCATGAAAGCAGCTGCAGGGGCTGTACCTTGCAGAGCCACAAGGGTGGAGCTGCCCAAGGCCTTGGGAGCCTACCCCTTGCATCAGTGTGTCCTGGATGTGAGACATGTAGTGAAAGGAGATTATTCTGGAGCTTTAAGATTTAATGACTGCCCTCGTGGGTTTCAGACTTGCATGGGGCCTGTAGTCCCTTTGTTGTGGCCAATTTCTCCCTTTTGGAATGGGAGCATTTACCTAATGCCTGTAGCTCCATTGTATCTTGGAAGTCACTAATTTGTTTTTTATGTTACAGGTTCATAGTTGGAAGGGACTTGCTTTGTCTCAGATTAGACTTTGGACTTGGACTTTTGAGTTAATGGGGGAATGAGTTAAGACTTTGGAGGACTGTTGGGAAGGCATGACTGTGTTTTGAAATGTGAGGTCGTGAGATCTGGGAGGGGCAAGGGGTAGAATGATATGGTTTAGCTTTATGTCCCCACCCATATCTCATGTCAAACTGGAATTTCCAGTGTTGGGGGAGGGACCTGGTGGGAGGTGACTGGATCATGGGGGTGGACTTCCCCCTTGCTGTTCTTATGATAGTGAGTTCTCACCAGATCTGGTTGTTTAAAACTGTACAGCACTTCTCTCTTCACTGTCTCTCTCCTGTCACCATGTGAAGACATGCTTGCTTCCCCTTATACCATGACTGTAAGTTTCCGGGGGCCTTCCCAGCCACAACTCCTGTATAACCTGTGGAACTGTGAGTCAATTAAACCTCTTTTCTTTATAAATTACCTAGTTTCTGGTAGTTTTCTTTTTTTTTGAGACAGAGTCCACTCTGTTGCCAGGCTGGAGTGCAGTGGCGTGATCTCGGCTCACTGCAACCTCCGCCTCCCGGGTTCAAGTGACTCTCCTGCCTCAGCCTCCTGAGTAGCTGGGACTACAGGTGTGCGCCACCAAGCCCAGCTAATTTTTGTATTTTTAGTAGAGACGGGGTTTTACCATGTTGGCCAGGATGGCCTCAATCTCCTGACCTTGTGATCTGCCTGCCTCAGCCTCCCAAAGTGCTGGGATTACAGGTGTGAGCCACCGCACCCGGCCTCTGGTAGTTCTCTATAGCAGTGTGAGAACCGACTAATACAACATCCTCCCTAGGTACCACAACTAGCCACGGGTCTCCTGGATGCTGAGCAGTGGCCATACTCACTGCACCAGGATCTTGTGCTTATCTGTCTGCCTCTCCCATGAGACTGGAGCTCTCAGAAAGCCATGGTGGTGTCTGGTTCAGGCTCACTATTTTTATTACATCATGAAACATAACTATGTCCAGAATAAACAAAAGCAAACTGAGAAAAAAGGCACTTAACATTCCTTGAAAAGATAGCTGAGGGCTACTCTTTGGAAATTGAAATTTTGTAAAATTAATTACCTTGGGCCTATTACTACTATTTTATGGTTATTATCAAAAAGACAAAAAATAACAAAGGTGAGGATGTGGAGAAAATGAAGTTCTTATATACCATCGGTGAGAATGTATATTAGTATAGCCATTATAGAAAACAGAACAGTGGTTTTTCAAAAACCTAAAAATGGAACTACCGTACAACCAATAATTCCACTACTGGGAATTTATCCGAAGAAAAGGAAATCAGTATATCAAAGAGAAGCCTACACCCTCATGTTTGTTATAGCACTATTCACAACAGCCAAGATACAGAATCAACCTAAGTGTCCCTCAACAAATGAATGCATAAAGAAAATATGACATATATACACAATGGAATACTATTCAGCCATAAAAAGAAATGAAAGCCTATCATTCACAGCAACATGCATGAACTGGAGGACATTATGTTAAGTGAAAAAAGTCAGGTACATTAAGACCAAAATCATATATTCTCACTCATTTATGGGAACTAATAAGAGTTGAGCTCATAGAAGTAGAGAGTAGAACTGTGTTTACTAGAGGCTGGGAAAGGTGGGGGTGGGGGAGGAAAAGAGGTTGGTTAATAGCTACAAAACTACAGCTAGGTAAGAGGAATAAGTTCTAATCCTCTATAGCAGGAGTCCCTAACCCCCATGCCATAGACTGGTATTGGTCTGTGGCCTGTTAAGAACTGGGCAGCACAGCAGGTGAGCAGTGGGCAAATGAGTGAAGCTTCATCTTATTTACAGCCACCCCGCATCGCTCACATTACTGCCTGAGCTCTGCCTCCTGTCAGATCAGTGGCGGCATTAAATTCTCATAGGAGCGTCAACTCTATTGTGAACTGCACATGTGAGGGATCTAGATTGCGTGCTTCTTATGAGAGTCTAATGCTTGATGATCTGTCACTGTCTCCCATCACCCCCAGATAGGGCCATCTAGTTGCCGGAAAACAAGCTCAGGGCTCCCAATGATTCTACATCATAATGAGTTGTATAATTATTTCATTATATATTACAATATAGTAATAACAGAAATAAAGTACACAATAAATGTAACGAGCTTGAATCATCCCCAAACCATCCTCCCAACATGTGGCCCAGTCTGTGGAAAAATTATCTTCCACAAAACCAGTTCCTGGTGCCAAAAAGGTTGGGGACTGCTGCTCTATAGTACTGTAGGGTAAATACAGTTAACAACAGTTTATTGTGTACTTCCAAAACACTAGGAGAGAGAATTTTTCAATGTTCCCAACATAAAGGAATGATAAATGAGGTGATGGATGTACTAATTACCTTGATTATTATACATTCTACATATGTATCAAAATATCACTTTGTAGCTCATAAATGTGTACAATTATTACATGCCAACTAAAACGAAAAGGAAAACATTATTTTAACTACAGGAAAAAAATAATGATGAAGCTCAGTAATCATGATGTTCAGTGTTCAGAAGTCTCATTATCTGTCATTTAACTGATACAGAGTTCTCTTTTAGCCTAGGCATACTTACAATATCACATTCCTTTTTGCCATCTCGTTTAATGGGCTCATTCAGATCTTCTTGGCTTCGAAAACTAAACTTTTCAATGGCTTCTGTAACTCCACGTAGAGAACTATAGATTTCTTCAGAGTTCAGGTTCTCTGTATCATAGTCCAGCATGCTAAAGATAAAAAATAATTTATTTCTTAAACTGAGGCACATACATGGAACTGAGAGGTGGGCATAAGTTACTTCCCATAATTTAAAGAATAAGACATATTTATAGTTTTGTTTATCTGGTGATTTGGAATGAAAAGGAGGCATCTTTTGTTAGAGTACCACCACCGGACAATTACACATCTTCCTTGTTAAAACTGCCAAACACATTACATCAGCACTCAATAAAAATCAGTGGGAAACAACAGTAACCATGAGAATGTAGCAACTCAAAGAGTGACACTGGTGACTGAAGGCACGAGATAATGAAAGTGGAAAAATAACTTTCTTATTTTGAAAATGGAAAAAAGGAGTTTGGTTGTTACTGGTCCCAAATGTACAAACTTAAGAGGAATGGGCAGTTGGAAATACAGCTAGTACTACAAGCAAATTTCAAAGGAGCAAAGTAAATAACCTCACAAGACAAGGTTATACTCCCAGGTATCCAATCCAGAAAACAAATAAAATCCTATTAAAAAAACAAAAACAAAAACAAAAAAACAAAACAATCCTAGACTCAAAGTCAGATCCACCCTACAAACGGGCCCAGAAAGTCTAACTCACACATCATCTCACCCAGGAGTCTGACTCTTCTACATGCTTCTATTTGGAGTTTTATAACCAAAGCAGATTTTATAAAAAGTCACATTCCTGGATAGACATCTAAGAATCCTCATAAAAGCAAGAAATATTTGTTGTTCATGGACAAGTGTTATTGACTACTGTCTTTATAGACACTGGGCATAGCAAAACATGAAATGAAGCAAAAAAGCCAAACAATCCTTTTTGGTGCACTGTAGTTTGTCAACAAGTGCCTTTTAGATGTCTGGAAAGTGCACTGAAACAGGGAGAATCCTCAGAACAAAAACCATCCTGAGAATAGAAAAGTTTTAAAAGCATGGGATGGATATATCAGCATAAAGCAAGCAAAACATGAAGCAACAGTCAACCAAGGGCAAGTTAAAAAAAATTTTTTAGTTTCAATGTCACTCGTTTCAAGAAAAGATCAGATGAATTCATCTAATTTAATTTTTAAAATAGTCCTGAGCTATACTGAGGATTGCTAGGGACATGCAAAGAATCCTTGGCTGTATATAAGTAAGCATGCAACATTGTTTAAGGACTAAAGAAAAGCAATCTTCCTGTTCTTCAAGAGAGTAGTAACTGAAAGAAACTAAGTATCCTTCCTACATGACCAATCCTATACATTTATACATTCCCCCAAAGTGAGTTTCCTGTAATGTAAAAATGATGAATATTTACTAAGTACTCTTCCTTAAGTACTCTGCCCTAAAAAAGGTTTGGGCAGATAAGCAAGGTAAGATTTGGAGAGCTCTCACTTGGAGTGGCCAGATCTCTACTGGCTTGATGTTGCAATGATCCAAGTGTTTTCTAGGGCTGGTAAGTTCTAGAGCCCAAGAGCTGACCACAATCTCAAAGATGGGAGCTATTTGTCTAGAATTGCAAATATGGCCCAGATAAAACCCACTTTTCCTGATGAATGAAAGAAAATACATAACCCAATTGTATTTGGAGCGTTCACAAAAAAACCAACCAAACAACAACAACAAAAAAATTTCAACTCGAAGATTGACTTGAGCATCAAACAAAAAGAAATGTGAACCTTGAACAGGTATGCTGTTGAAATTCCATGTCTCAACTGATAGGAGGTAGAATAAAAAATTTGAACAGAATTTAAGATCTCAACCTCTTCTATGTTCACAAGGCTGTCTGTCAAAGAGGTAACACTCCTTAGACGTGAGGAAGGCATGACCGAGGGGCCAGAGGCTCCCCTCCTCCTTCTGAGGACACCACAATACTAGCTCATGTACAGACAAGGCATTTATACATCTGGCCAGTACACTATTTTTTATATATAAAGACTGAGTATTACGACTCAAACAAAAAATATATATACAAGATGTAAAAAAAAAATGCCTTAAAATACTTTTAATCACAACAACCAAAAATAACAGCATAGCCCATGCAAAAGAAAAAAATCCAAAAAACTGAAAGAACGATGGGATGGACAAGAGGAAGTCTGGCGGAACGTTCAAGTTTTTTAAGGGATGTCACAATATTATTTTCCATATGTCGCTTCAGATAATGTCAGCTTTCAGATAATTCATCTCATTATTCTTAACTTGAACTTTCCTAAAAATAGTTCATTTCAGATCACATCACTTCACTATTACAATAGCCTCTTTTTAGAATAAGAAAATAAAGGATTCTGCCAGGTAATTTCCTCCTTCTCACTTTGAATTAATAAACCAACTCAAACTCCCAATTTAGGAGCACCATTTGCAGAACCAAGAACAATCGAAGGTGTCTTCTTTTAGACACACTAGCCTGAGGTTTGAAGTATCTCCTTGGTATGAAGCTAAAACAGTGAGCTGCAGGTGAGGGGCATAACTGCTTAGCTCTAGGAGGAAATGGACCATGCTACTTTCTTTGCTATTTTTATGCTTTGGCTTGATTTGTAGTTTTCCAAATCAGTATCTGTTAAGTTCTCACTTAAAGGAAAAAGGAATTTCCCATGAAAGCCATTATCAAGGAGGGTAGATATTATGTCCTCACAAGCAGTATATGAGGGAGCCGCAGGACGGCCTCAGAAGTGGACTGAGAAGAGAACTGGGGAAACCTCAGTCTGCCATCTGCCCCACAGCCTGTCTTGTTTCAGCCCGGAGACAACCCCAGGACATAATGCTTGGGTTAGAGGTCAGGCCCTGATCACCTGTAAATACTCTGGTTAGACTCCAGAAGGGCTCTCTTAGGGTTTTTTAGATTAGGGAGAATTCCTTAATCAGTCAATAGTCACTGACCTAAAGTTAGGCTTACATCAGGCCATGCCACCCAACATGGAAGCTGAATGCGGCCCTGGGCTTGCCCGCTGAAGGATTCATGTCGTGGGGAGGGAGGAGGGCATGGGGTCAGGTCTCCAAGAGAGAGAAACTGGAGAGAGAAGTCTGCCTTCTTTGTCATTTTGGAGGAAAAGGGTACAATGTATAGATTAAGCATAGTCATTCTTTGTTATGGAATCAATAGGATTTTGGCACAGAGCAAAGAAACAGGCATATAGATTCCCTCTTAGTTTTATGTAACTGATAGGTTTTCTAAATGTAAAAGTCTCTAGTCAGCTATCCCTGCCTCCAATGGGCAACAGAAGTTGTAAGCATTTAGTAAGCATTCTCTCTTAATGAGTTCGGTCAACACGTATTATTGTGTACATATGTGAAAGATGATCCTAGGAATGGGATGTGCTCTGGAGGGATAATCCTGATGTGTGACTGGCAGTGAAGCTGAGTGCTCATGAGGGCATACGGGTCAACATACTGGGAGATAGTCAACAAACTGATCTTACACTTGGAGGCACAGCTAACCTTAAAAAAAAGAAAAAGGAGTGACCTGCTTTGTTAACATTAAAGACAGTAGCCGTCTCCTCGTCTGCTTGCCCTAACCTTGTGTATCTAGAAACATTCATTGCAGGGTTCTCTGTACACTTTAGAAATGACTTTTAGAGGTATAAGAGCTTCAAAAGGAAGGTGTTGTTACAATATTTCATTTACTGTTTTTGGCTTCACTATGTAGATTATTTGTATTCCACAAAAGTCAGAATACAAATCTGTGCAAAAGCTATCTATGAAGCATTTCAAAAGTAACAGACCATTTTTTTTGTTTGTTTTTTGTTTTTTTTAACCCTTTTCCTATCACACCCTCTATCATAGAGGGTAGAAACTCATCTCACAAAGCACAATGACAGCTGGACTGCCCGGTGCTCTAACAGGTTTCTAGGGAAGAGATTCTCTGATCTTCGGACCTTATAAAAAGCATCCCCAAGAGACCCTGAAATAGACATCTGCAGTACTATGTGGACCCTTCTTTGTACCACAGATTTACCATCTGTCAGCATCTGAGGGAAGCCCACCCCGTCTTCCAGACTCATAAATAACTGTTGCATAACCAGTGTCCATGATGCTGTACTCGGCATCAACTGTGGGGGTGCATGAGGTGACTGACAGTTCTCCTTCTTAGAGGCAGGGCATCCTTAGTGAGCTAAAACAGTTATCCTGCCTCGTGGGGATTCCTTTCTGGATGTGTGTGCTCAGACTACCCTCATATGACAGTATATTAGGAAAGAAATCAGTTATATATAGTCAATAGCATGGCTGAGAGTGAGAGGTGTGGTTTGGGAAAGAGTAGGTCTCCTGGCTTCTCAGGGGAATGCCTTCTGCACTTTAGACACATGCTAAGGAAACTGCTCCCACTATTGCCCACGCTGACCTCACAGCATTTCCTGAGCTATTTCTGGGGGCTGAGCACTGCACTGTACAGAAAGGCCCACAATAGTGGGCGGTGATGAATCTGATCAGGTTATAAAGGGTCATCTGTCCCTGTGACACAGCAGGAACCGTACTTGTGAGATTTGGCAAAGATCACACACCTGCTCACACTTCTCACCAAGGCTCTACTCCTGCTATGTGACACCAAGAAAGGGACCACACTGGAGGCAGCTTAGAGGCTTTCCCAAAGACCTGAGACGACCTTGGAAACGCAATAATATTGTGACACCTCAGACAAGTTTGACAGGTAGCTTGTTACCTGGGAGAGTAAGAGCGCCTGAGAGCCTTGTGGGAGGGAGCGGTGGGGATGGAGTTAGGCTGAGAAAAGGGAGGTGGGTGCTTCGCTAACCCGTCGGCACTCCAACCCCATAACCGACTGCAGTGATCAGAAGAGGAAAATCAGAGAGAAATACAAAAAGCAAAGGGGAGGGGAGGAGGAAAGCACTACACACTAAGTGTCTTAGTCTCTTCTTTCCTTGACAAAGTTCTATTAAAGTTAATCAAAGCAAAATTAGCACTTCATCATACAGAGAAAAGAACAAATTTTGTTTTACAATTTGGTCCTTGATGAGACTGGTTTATTCTTTCCCCTCCCAACCATGGAATGTGTTTACTACTTAAAATCACATGCGATTCCAAGAGTGTCTATGGGAGAGACTGTGTGTATGTGGGAGTATGAGGGGGTGTGTGTATCTGCATGCACTGGGAAGGACATAACACAATACACAAGAAAATATGGATGTTCACTTTCAGTTAACTCATCAGTTATTTTAGAAAGAATCAAATAAAAATCATGGGGCCTCAATTCAAATGGGACCAGAGGGACTCCAGAAGGAGGACTCAGAGACCGTGCTACTCTGACCAGAACTCTCCAATGTGGAGCAGTGCATTCTCTGGGGCTGTGATCCAGTTGGATGGTGTTCAGAGACAGCACAAGCTGTTTCCTTCTGAAACAAGAGTAGCACCACTGGAGGGCTAGTGTGTTAAGTCTCAGCTGGCCAGCTCAGAGTACCAGGTCATAAAAACCAAACCTCTCTGCTCATATCACCTAATAAGAGAACTGAAATTCTTCTGGGAACACAAGTACTCATCTTCCCTTCGCAAATGTCACTGGGTGCCTGGGCTTGCAGAGGCCCTGAAGGAGAGTTCTAACAACTGCTGCAATTCAAAAGGATTGAGGGAAAGCCTGGGAAAGTGGGGAGCTGGGCTGGCTGGTGATGTGGGGGAAGGCCAGGGTGGAGTCCATGGCATCAGCGCCAGGGCACCTACAGAACAGCCCTGCCTGCCACTGGCATTCACTGGCATCATCACAGTGGGAGCCTCTGCATCCTAGTCTTCCCTGAGCACAGGTATAGCTCTGCTTTATAAGGAAAATAAGTCATGGAGATGTGAAGTCACTGCCGTACAGAGGCCTAAAGACACACTGGCCTCTATGTGAGGCACACACTGGGTCAGACACACACAGTGGGTTGGAGGTGAGGGCACAGGAGGGATGCAGGTGACACCTCCGGCTGGGCGTCTGCTTGGGGAAGGAGGGGCAGACACACCCACCTCCGAGTGTGGGGCGGGGTCTCCCTGTTAAGCCCACTTTGATTCGATCCATACTCTGGATCCTCTCACAAGAGGGCCACTAAAAATGACTTCCTATTGCTAGGGACACACACGCTATTTACAGAGTCATCCTGCTCTATGACATGTTTGCCAAGAACAGATGGCAGACCAGAGCAAGGACCACCATATACTTTTTTCTCTTAAAGGAAATGGACTTCAGATGATTTCTGAAGCCCCTTGCAACTCAGTTTTTCATTTACCATAAAATCACATTAGGTAAAATATAAATATGTACTTCACATACTTATATAGGCAGTTTACTCTTTCACACAGAAATGATGTCTAACAGAATGTTTTACAAAAGTTTAACCTATTATCTACAGCATCTCTACTACTACTGGGTTGATAAAAAAAAAAAAGACTTCCTCACTGGTGAGAGATATATACATATATATTTTATATATATGTATATATATAAATAAATAAATATGACAGGGTCTCATTCTGTTGTCCAGGCTAGAGTGCAGCTCACTGAAGCCTCCATGTCCTGGGCTCAAGCAATCCTCCCACCTCAGCTTCCCAGGTGTGTGGCACCATGACCGGCTGATTTTTTATTCTTTGTAGAGACAGGATCTCACTATGTTGCCCAGGCTACTTTCAAACTCCTGGGCTGAAGCAGTCCTCCCACACTGGCCTCCCAAAGTGCTGGGATTACAGGCATCAGTCACCATGTCCAGCCGCTAGTGATATTTTTAAACAATTATCAGATTTATCATTTTAGAATAGTTTCTTACTATCATCATGATCCAAGTATAGAAATTTTGAACCAAAAAAAAAAAAAGTTCATTTTGACAGTTAAAATTAGACTTAAAACAGGCCAGGTGTGGTGGCTCATGCCTTTAATTCCAGCACGTTGGGAAGCAGAGGTGGGTGGATAACCTGGGGTCAGGAGTTCGAGACTCCGTCTACTAAAAATACAAAAATTAGCCTGCCGTGATGGTGTATTTCTGTAGTCCCAGCTACTCAAGAGGCTGAGACATGAGAATCGCTTGAATTCAGAAGGCAGAGGTTGCAGTGAGCAGAGATCATGCCACTGCACTCCAGCCTGGGTGACAGAGTGAGACTCAGTCTCCAAATAAATAAATAAATAAATTTGACTGAAAACAAATAATTGGTAATAGCTTTTCCCCTACAGAATAAAAGGCTAACACTGTTTGGTCAAGATAACTCAAAGGAATGGCAGGTTGCAGAAAATCAACAATTTAAGAGCAATGCTCAGAAAAAATAGCCGAGATTATATACAACAGATCTGTCTACCTTTCTATAGTCTCCTTAAATGAGGTAACCCACTCAATTCTATTTAGTGCAATAATCCATTTCTTTTATCATTTTCCTTTAGAAAATATGTAGCCTATTTGAGTATTTCTAGTGACATGATAACATGAGGCAGTTTTCCCACTGCCGGACAGTTTTAGTTGCAAGAAAAACTATTTCTTCCATGAGCTCAAGTTGGCTGAGGCCATCTGGCTATCTATGCACTGAATGATGGCAAGTTTAAAAAAATGTATTTTTCCAAGAAAGAAACTACATAAATAACTCCCTAAAGAAGAATCTGATAACAAGAAAATATTTAGACCACACATGAACTACCGAATATTGAAAATAAATCTCGTCTCTTCCACTGATCTGTAACTATAAATAAAAATTAAGATGAGGCCAATTAAGAAGGGATAATGACCTTGAAAAACAAAATTTTTAATGACTTGAGGACCCATGGAGATTGACTTAGCCAGTTTCAGCTCTGATGAATGATACTAACAGCATTAACAAGTTTTTACTTAGATTAGTAGTACAAAATAATAATAAAATGCTTAATATGAGTTATACCTTTTGACTTACTATCTAAAGAATGTGCCACCCTAAGAATGCAATAACTAAAAGACGTATGAACTGTATGTTATGGAAGAAAAGACTTCCCAATTAATGTTACGTAACTATCTCTTCTAGACAGAGGCAACAATTTATAGAAAATTCAAGTTTTGCATATAAGTTTCTCCACTAGGAAAGACAATTTTATGATTTTACTGTCACCACTGTACCACCATATTCTTTAGACATACATGGTAGTATTAAGAAAAAAAAAAAATGGCTAAACCTCAGTCACACCTGGGGAAAGTCAAGCATATTTTCATTAGTCGCTGGTCTCAATTTTTTAATTGTAACAGCCTGTTGAAGCCATGACAATACAGACCAAATCTGGAGACATAATATCACATTGCCATCTACCTAAATATAGTGCAGAGGGACATTTGGGGGAGTAAACATAAGGGCAATCTAAACAGCAAGATAAGACAGCTACAGAAAAGACTTGGTTTCACCAAGAGGAAAATACACATTTCTTATGTTCCAAAGTATTTAAAGGATATGAGGAACTGGAAATCTAGAGTGATAAGGAAGAAGTGTGGGAGACTCTTGATCATTTAAAAAACTAAATGTAAAAGCAATTATGTTTTGATATCTTCCTAGTAACAAGGTCCCATTAAAGGGAAAACAGCATACTTGTCGTACTGTCATTTCATTTTCAGATCTCGGTGCCAGCAGCCTTCAGGACAAAAGCTTACTGGTTTGTATTGTTAGTGATCCCAAAGAGTTAATCCTGCAGACAGAGCATGTGTGCCCCTTGCTGGTCCAGACACTGGCTCTTTCATCAAAATTCTGGCCTGTAGGGCAACTACTTTGAGTGGGGCCATGGGTCACTCCCAGCCCATGTGAGGGGGTCACTAAAGCCACCACGCAGACTTCTAAAGGCTCTGGTCAGATGGTGAAGTATCACTAAAGATCCCGACAAAGCAGGTTCTCTTTTTAAGTCACTGCCTCAGCTTCTATAGGGCCAATATTTGCATGGTCCCAATAAGAGTATGAAATGTGGACCCAATTTTAGTTCTCAGATTCTAAATCACAGTCCTTCAGAGCAGCATTCTGCTTCAAACATGACAGCAACTATGTTTAGAATGACTACTTGGGTTAAAAAACGACCCCAGGCCGGGCGCGGTGGCTCACGCCTGTAATCCCAGCACTTTGGGAGGCCGAGGCGGGCGGATCCCGAGGTCAGGAGATCGAGACCATCCTGGCTAACACGGTGAAACCCCGTCTCTACTAAAAATGCAAGAAATTAGTCGGGCGAGGCGGCGGGCGCCTGTAGTCCCAGCTACTCGGGAGGCTGAGGCAGGAGAATGGCGTGAACCCGGGAGGCGGAGCTTGCAGTGAGCCGAGATCGCGCCACTGCACTCCAGCCTGGGCGACTAAGCCAGACTCTGTCTCAAAAAAAAAAAAAAAAAAAAAACAAAAAAAAAAAACCGACCCCAGACTTGGTGTAACTGACTATAACAAGTTGGCTTGGATGACTAAATACCTAAATACCTTCAGGTTCTGCCACTTGCAGAACAGGTAATGAGCTTCTACATGGATTCTATGCAAAACAGTACTAAACGTAAACTTTCAGTTGTAGGTACTATTAGGTACCAGTGAGTGTTTAGAGCTACTAGAACCAGAGAACATTCAGCACACACCACTCATCTTACCATAGAAGTTAACCCCTTTGCGGAAGATTATACAGTTACAATTTGAGTGAGGACTTAGAACCCATGGTTCTTGATACTCAATATTCTTTTTGTTATTTAGCCTAGTCTAAAAAATCTAGAAATAGGCTGCACAGCAATTAAGGTGCTTTAGTTTCTTTAATTCTTTGGAAAGTAAAGAAGTGACCTTACCTTGGAGACAGACCCCCATGGGAACAGTTGGTGGGTGAGGTTAGGGGGCTGGTCCTGCTGCTGGTGTGTCGGGAGGGCGTTCGGCCAATCGTATTGCTTGGAGAGCCCTGGGGTGAAGCAGAATAGGCATCATTATTCCAGTGCTGTACAAAGAATATTATTCTACTCTCTCCCTGGTCTTTTAATCCACATGTAAATAAATGGGTAGAATCTGCCCAGGATGGTTCCCCCGCCCCTCAGAATCATAAGGCCAATTTTTAAGTGCATATAAACCAAAAATGAATAATCATCATACAGGCACTCCTGGAGTCGAATGACTGATGTTGGGTGTGCCAGACTGACAGACAAAATTGAGCATCTGCATCTTTCCAGTGTTGACAAATAAGACCAACTCAGTGAATGAATGACTAATTGGATAGCCTAGTGAAAATGTAGCTGACTGAACAACCTAAGGAAAAAGGCCATACTTAAGTATCAGATTCATTCATTCACGGGGCTCAGGATGGCCCCGTCCTCAGGATGCTCGGCATTGCCTGAAAGAGGACAAGGAAACGGGGTACTCTATGAAAGTAGGTTCTAGGTAACGGCTCCGCAGAGGTCATGGACATCACAGAGGCACCAACCGTGACCAAAGCACTCACCACACTGGTGTTACTGGAATTCTTGAGGTGGTTGTGCAGGAGTTTGGTGGCACCATCCTGGAATGTTTTTGGCAAGGCACCAAGTAACATGGTAAATTCAGGAGTATTCAATTCAAACAGAGAGATCAGCACAATTTGTGCTGCCTAGAAAGAGGAACCATGATTAATTTATGTAACGTACAATAGGTCCTTCATCAAAATGTTGATAAAAGTTGTTTTTAAAAAATATTTTATACGTAAAATCACTAATAAGAGGGCATTCTAGGCATCAAAAACAAAGAAGCATCTGAAGAAAATAATATCAATCATTAGTCTGACTTCAATCTGGAAAATAAACTCTGGCTTCACTTTAATGTTCTGGCCTTGGAATTCCACAGCACACTAATAATAAATTCCTAGAACTTTTCTTTCGTTATCTGGTACTAGGAAGGAAGCTGGTAAATAGCTAAATGAAACAATTAAAAAGTTTAAAAAGTTTAAGACTGATCCCACTTGAATAATTCAGAACTGAACAGGGATCTCAGTGCACCTTGGAGAGCACATATTTTTAAACAAGCTGCATTAGGTTATCTTAAGAAGCCACATTTCTCTTGACTAAGAAACACGAGAAAACGAGTATAAATACCTCAGAAAAACTTCTACTTTTACACATATAAACCAAGGAGAGAGACTTCTGAGAAGCAAACCGGACTTTGAAGGAGTCTACATTAAAAACATGCTCTTCTGCCTTTTGGAAAATGTTCTACTTTTGCTTATTAATTGAGTCAACACACTGCAAGCCTGCTTGTAATGACTGTGGTAGCGAGGTAGGCAAAGCAGTAAGAGTAGTCAACGAGACTCGGGCTTCTAGTAAGTGATGTGCTTTCTATGGATTTAGTAGCAGGCAATCTGAGCTTAAAGCACAATGCCTGAGGAATTAATTATAATAGTTTTCATTTACAAAAGCCAAGCCAAAAAAAATTTAGTAAATACTAATTGGCATTTCTTATTAATTTCTAAGAGTCAAGGGAAAGAAAAAGACACAAAAAACTGTCTGTGAATATAATCACTTCTTTTTCATTTTTAACCATAAAGATTTTACAAACATAAAGTCTTTCCAAAGACTGTAATTTTTAAGATTGCAGTAATTATTCAGAATTTTTTCCCATGACACAGAATATTACACAAAAAATGTGCTTGCAGAGAGAATCTTTTGGAAATAAAAATCACAAAATAGTTCAAGGATTTTACAATGCTACAATTAATTATACGTCCAGTTAGGACAATTACTATTTTGTGCATGGAGAAGGAAAATAAATCCAAAAACCCAAAGGTATTTAACCAAAAATAAGAATTATGAATTTAAAAATATAATCAAAAATTACTTTAACATTTTGAAATCATTCATCAAAGCATTGGGCAAAAGTACATTACTTTTCCCTCCTTTAATTTCAAATACAGTCATCAATACCTTTTCCACCCAAATTAAATCATAAGTGGCCAAAATATTTTTATGGCGTGGGCAAAAAACATTATTATTGATTTTACTAAAATATGCTTTTCTACATTTCATTTTGGAAACATTTTAAACAAATTATCTGAAGGAATCTACTCCACCAACAATTTAATGTACTGTTAATTTGATATGTACATTTGTATAACAGAACAAGTTTTTCCAAAACTCATGCAAAATAACCTGCATATTTTTAAAACACATTGTATTAGGTGTTAGGAAAAAACCAATGCATGCAGAAAAATAATGCACTACAAGAAGAAAGAAAGCAGCAGCCTGGAATTGCAGCAGGAAAAACACATCAATGTCATCAATTTAATTAAAAAATATTGGCACTTAAATTTTGTTGACTGAAAATGGCATCTGAAGGTTATAAAACATATAATTACCTTCTTGAATAGTATGTCAAATGTGCCACTGCCTTTATTTAAGAGACAATATTTCTTCCCAGAATGTTATCTAATGTCACAGCTAACTTGAGGCTTTTCATTATGCAAATTATAAACTTAGTAGCTTAAAGTACTTCCAGAGTAAAATCTTTTAAAAATAAGATCCAAGTTCTAGAAACTGGTAGAAAGTATCATTTAAATATACATTTTTTTCCTAAGAAAAGAGGCAGGGGTCTCATTGCCCAGGCTGGAGTGCAGTGGCTATCTACAGGTTCAATCACAGTGCACTGCAGCTCGAACTCCTGTGCTCCAAGCAATCCTACTGCCTCAGTCTCTGGAGTAGCTGGGATTATAGGCATATAGTGCCCAGACCAAGTATCCAATTTTTAAAAGATTTTATATCAGAGTTTTGCAAGGAATTAGACTGTTATTATTTTCAAATAGTTTATCTCTGACCCTCTGAATTAGTGAGAAGTTAAAATGGAATCCAAGCAAGGAAGAAAACTGGGTTATATTTATCATTACCATCAATATGATCTCATTAAACAAGTAATTCCAGATACGGAACTGGGCTGGAGAGATGCATTTAAAAAGCCTGGGGCATAGCTCATGTTCACTAGTGACTCAAAAAGCGGAGTACGCCACTGTTCTTGTCTGCATACCTGAACTGTTGTCTTCGTAAGAGGCAAGACCATTAGGCAGCCAGATGAAAAACTCAAGAGTACTGCTGACTTTTTCTAATGGGCAACCCTAGGGCAATTTATTTTAAGGATCACACGGCAACTTAAAATGAAATGATTCTCACACACACCCTCATAGAGGAATTTGAGAGGTGGGATTTGTAAAAGGTTCTTCATATCTCACTGCTACCATATGAAGAGAACTCCCAGGTACATCAACTGTCTTGAATATTGCACACCTTATAGCAGAAAGGAATTCTTCCTAGCAGATCAGATCAAAATAAAGCTTTGCCAAACACTTCAGTGTTATTATTAATTTGGGAAAACAAAATTTGAGAGGAAAAGCAGAGTTTTCCAATTTATTAAACAACTCACTGCTCCCTTCAGATTCTCAATAAAAATTGCTTCATAAAGTCACCAAAGAGAAACTATTTCAAAACCTTCAGTCATTTCTCATTTAGCATCTCTCCTTTTTTTTTTTTCAAGAGATGGGGGTCTCGCTATATTGCCCAGGCTGGAGTACAGTGGCTATTTACAGGCATGATCACTGTGCACTGCAGACCCGAACTCCTGCAATCCTCCTGCCTCAGCCTCCCAAGTAGCTGGGACTACAGGTGTGTGCCACTGCTCCAGCCTACTATCTCTCCTTTTTACTATTCTATTAAAATATGGTAGCAGTCGACACAAACATGGCTATATCACTGAGAAGGTAGTTAATCATAAAACACACCATAACACAAAGGTTGACACAGGCACACATACACACGCTCATATAGTATTATATTAATTTTAGATTTATCAAAAGCTTCCCAGTGCCTTCACAAGGGTAACTGGTATTAATAATCTAAAATGCAAACAGTGAAGTGTGCTGTTTGAAATTAGTACACAGTTTTCAATCTACCTGTTTACAACTTTCTTCCAAGTTTCCTTCTCCAGGCCCAGAGCAGGTTGAAGCTGACCTAGTGGGGAAATCCTCACCTACTCGACTACGCTGAAGCGAGGACTGGCAAACAGGAAAGGTGGGAGGATTGAATCAGAGAGAAGCAGAAAGTGCCTAAACATGGCAATCTGTTAGCTACAAAAGCATTTGGCTTCTTAGATAAAATCAGCGAGACACACATGATTGAAAGTTAGGAAGAATCAGAATAATAACAGTAGCTGCCAGTTTTAACCCTCAGTAGCATCACTAGGTCTTTTACTTAATAAACTTAAAAGTAGTATTCTTGCTTCAAGTGATGAAATGGAAGATGTCCAAATAAGACTTGAAAGAGTCCGGCGTGGTGGCTCACACCTGTAATCCCAGCACTTTGGGAGGCCAAGGTGGGCAGATCAACTGAGGTCAGGAGTTTGAGACCAGCCTGGCCAACAAATGAAACTCTCGTCTCCACTAAAAATACAAAAATTAGCTGGGTGTGGTGGCATGTGCCTGTAATCCCAGCTACCCAGGAGGCTGAGGCAGGAGAATCGCTGGAACCTGGGAGGCGGAGGTTGCAGTGAGCTGAGATCGTGCCACTGCACTCCAGCCTGGGTGACAGAGCAAGACTGTCTCAACAACAACAAGAAGAAAGACTTGAAAGAGACTCACAGTCACAGTTAAGCTGAGATTCAGTTATTTGATAGTAAAACCCTTAGCTTTCAGACTAGAGGCATGCTGCCTTTATAATCATATATTTTTTTAAAGTCAATTAGAAATCTCACCTTTTCAATGCAATTTATGCATTAATACTTCTCCCTGCTCTAGCCAACAGCATCTTTATACTTCTAGGTTTCTTTGCCATGCCTTCATTGCCCACACTTCTCAAAACAAGGTTTGGGGGCTAAATCTGTTGCTTCATTTGACAAAGAGAATCACATGTGATAAGCTAACATACAGGCATTCCAAATTCCAACATGTAAACATACAATTAAAATTCTACTGCCATTACCACATTCCCTCTGACTGATCACATGGCTTCCTAAATCTTAGAAAAAATTCTGGTACTCAGTTTATTCCATAAATAACAACAGCAGCAAAACCAAAACAATCATCAAAAAATAATAGCAGAGCTGCAACTGCAAATAAAATGTCTAGGTTTTAATATATTTTATTAATATATTAATAAAAATTTAATCCGCTTAGTAATGCCTGAGGCAAGTGTTACTTATGTATTTTAGAGATGGGTCTCTTTTTGTGGGTGCAAGCAATCCTCCCACCTCAGCCTCCCAAGAAGCCAAAATTACAAGCACGCGCCACCATGCCCAGTTTGAGGCAAGTATTATTATTCCCATTTTATAGACAATAAACAAGAACTCAGGGATTAAATTACTTGCTCTGACCCCAGTGAGTGGCAGACGCAGAAGTCAAATGGAGGTCAAACTCCAGAACCCACCTTCTTTCTATCAGTAATATATACTATTATCTTATGTCAATACAGTGCATTAAGAAAGGTCTAGTGTACGTCTGCATAGTTTCATCATACAACTAAACTAGTCAGGGCTCCCACACTGAGAAAATGGAAAAGTTTACTTTTGGAATACAGCAGGCCAGTTACAGACTGGGTTGGGCTTTTTTGTCTTGTCCAAACCAGTCTCAGTGTGGTAAGCACACCTCACTGGTGATTCGTTCATGTTTTGATTTTAAAAACACCTTAACAATTTAAGCACCCCTCCCTCCACAATGTGAAACACCCCAATATACTAAGAAGGAAAACAAAATATTAAAAATGCTAAAATCAATGAATCTGAGTTATATCAGCTTGTATCAGTTTAAAATGCTTCAAAAGTGCTTTCACAAACATGGTTGTATGGACTTAGAGAATGTCTGAAAAGTCCCCAGGTACTCTGTTTACATAAAATATTCTCCAGAGATGAGTCTGAGAATTTACTGTATAAATTTCAGACTGAAGGGCTCTTCTGTATTTAGAACACCCACCCTAAAAAAATTAAAGCAGGACATTAACAGAAGAACTTGGTTTAAGATCACAAAATGCTTTTAAATCACCAAGATTTCCATAATCCCTAATATAACCTTTAAAAAACTCTGGAAATGAAGGATGAGGCAGAACAAAGTTTATTTATACAGACATGTATTTTACGTTTAGTGTGTTAAATGATCTAGATAAGATATAGTTTTATTTTTATACAGCTTTAAAATAATTTTAAATGTTATCAATTTTAGATCTTAGAGCAGTGATATATGCTATATCACAATTCTTCTAAGTATTTTAATTTATTTAGGCACTACTTTCATTTTGACAGTACTTCAAGAACATCTCATATTCCTGGGTAAGGCAGCTGCATCACTGACAAAAGCAACTATATTTATAAATGTTCAATGGATGGTACATCAAAACAGGGAATTTAAATAAAAGTGAATCTACCTCCAAAAAGGATTAATCTGCAGCGCCCTAATGTAGAGTTTGAGGACATCTATTTTAATACTGTCCCATGATACAACTATTTGAATCAAAAGTAATGCTTTACTAGTTAGTGCGGAATGTTACTGAAAGCCAAATAGTTTAGAGCCACGGGTATCTTAGATGATTAAAAAAAAAAAATCTAGGTGACAGAACACAGAAATGCGTCTGCTAAGTAACTTGAACCACATCATAATTTGCATAGATAGGTAAAAAAGCTCCCTCCTAAAATAAGAGCCAAGGAATTATGGAATAACTACGGTAGCCTTCTGCCAACCCCCTAAAAGAGACACCAAAGTCCTGGTAGTCAAGACACTAAGACTGCCCCCAAGATTCCCCATAACGTATTACACCCTATATAATCCCTCCCACCCTTAGAGTGAGCGGGACTTGTGAATATAATGGATATCACTCCCATGACTGTGTTACATGGCAGAAGGGATTTTCGAAAAATGTAATTAAGGCCCTTAATCAGTTGACTTTGAGTTAATCCAAAGGAAGATTATCCTGGGTGGGCCTGACCTAATCAGGCAAGCCCTTAAAAGGCATCAGGGAGGCCGGGCGCAGTGGCTCACGCCTGTAATCCCAGCACTTTGGGAGGCCAAGGCGGGCGGATCACGAGGTCAGGAGATTGAGACCATCCTGGCTAACACAGTGAAACACACAAAAAACTAGCCGGGGGAGGTGGCGGGCGCCTGTAGTCCCAGCTACTCAGGAGGCTGAGGCAGAAGAATGGTGTAAACCTGGGAGGCGGAGCTTGCAGTGAGCTGAGATTGGGCCATTGCACTCCAGCCTGGGCGACAGAGCGAGACTCTGTCTCAAAAAAAAAAAAAAAAAAGGCATCAGGGAGATTCAAAATGAGAGAGATTCTATGGCTGGCTTTGTTTTAATTTCTCCTTCATTTTGGAATTAGGGTTTTGCCAAATAGTGAATTCTTGGCTAACCGCTTTTTTTCTTTCAGCACCTTCAATGTCATCCATTGCCTTCTGTCCTCCGCAGTTTCTGAAGAGAAATGAGCTGTTAATCTTATTGAGGATCTTGTGCATGGGATGAGTTTCTCCCCTCTTGCTGCTTTCAGCAAGCTTTGGCTTTCAGCAATTAGATGTTACGTGTCTAGGTGTGAATCCTTTTATTAAAAGATCTTGGCTGGGCGCGGTGGCTCACGCTTGTAATCCCAGCACTTTGGGAGGCCAAGGCGGGCGGATCACGAGGTCGGGAGTTCAAGACCAGCCTGAACAACATGGTGAAACCCCATCTCTACTAAAAATACAAAAACTAGCTAGGTGTGGTGGTGTGCACCTATAATCCCAGCTACTCAAGAAGCTGAGGCAGGAGAATTACTTGAATCCGGGAGGCGGAGGTTTCAGTGAGTCGAGATCGCACCACTGCATTCCAGCCTGGGTGACAGAGCGAGACTCCATCTCAAAACAAACAAATAAACAAACAAACAAAAAACCCAAATTTTTTTAGTTTGTTGGGCTACTTAGACGTATAACGTTTTTTGTCGAATTTGGGGAGTTTCTTAGTTATTATTTCTTCATGTATTCTCCCAATAGCTTTGAATAAGCAAACTTCCTGGCAGCCTCTACTATCTGAGAATGGCTGCCCGGTTGACAGTCAGCAAGAAAGCAGGCGGCTGAGTTCTACACCTGCGAGAGACTGAAATTTGCCAAGAACCAATAAGCTGGAAGAAGATCTCAGCCTCAGATGAGACTGCAGATCCAGATGACATCTTGTTTCAGCCTCTGAGACACCGACCAGAGGACCCAGAGAACACATGCCAGATTCCTGATTTATTACTGTGAGATAATCCGTATTGTTTCAAGGGAAGTATGTGGTAATTTGTTATACAATAGAAAACGAATAAAGAAGTCAAAAGAAGGGAACTTCCAAAACTATAGTTTTAAAAATGATGGCTTCAAAATATCATTTGAAATGAAATCATTCCATATGGGTGTTTATCATTCATTAATTCATTCAAAATATATTAATGCCTACTATGTTACTCCAGGCATATGCCAGGCACTGAGCACGCAGGGTGAGCAAAACAGTCTCCTTACTGCTCAACTTCCCAAACCCTCTGCTTCAGACATATCAGTCTATTTCACTGTTCCCAGACAAATCTCATTTCTTAAACATGACTACTGTCCTTCCCCTAAACTCATCACTTACGCAAACTGCATCCATATTCCACATCTGAGGATGAATCTTATCTTCTCTAGGAAGCTTTCTATGATTAATACAGAGTGTACTGAGTGACAACATACAGAAAACCAGGCCGGTATTCCATCAGTTTGAAGGAAGTTGCCCAGGGTAACAGGGCCCTAACCACTAAAGTGGGTTTAGAGGAAGCACAAAAGCTCTAGGTCCAAGGTAGGGTGGTGGGGAAGATGCCAGGGAACACAGAGGCCAAGCCTAGTCCTGAAGATACTGAGGAGCAACACTGCGTAGCAAGAGAATTTGCAAGAAACAGATCAAGACTACATCAGTAGTCTGTATGTCTTGAGGTTCATTCCAGGACCATGGCCCAAAATACTAGGCCTTGTCTGTGTATTAAAAATCAGCCAAGAGTGAAAGGAACCCCCATCAAAAAAACAACAGAGTGTCTAGGCTCTGCCCCATACCAATGAAATCAAATTCCTTGGGAATAGAGCTCAGAAATCTACGTTGATTTTAATTGCAGCCAGGACTGGGAACTATTAATCTGAATCTTCTCAAATTCCTCTGAAGATCAGGATTATTGTCCTAGAACCTAGGTATAAGTTAGGTGTGAAGGTGAGGATTTAAGTACACCTCACAATGGGAAAGGAGAAGTAGGGGGGCAGGCATGGAAAGTAGCACGTCAGTGGAGATAAAGCTTTGCGAAGTAACACTGTATAATCCAAAATAACTGAAACAAGTGTTGAAGCTCATTCAAACAGTAAATGAACGAAGTGATTTCTGGCAAGATATCTAATGTTCTATTTTTATTTGGCTTGAGCTAGTACTAAAATAAGTTGAGGTTTTTGGAGCCTCAGGCTAATAATTCAAAATTATCTGTAATGTTCTTAATAGAATAGTAAGGACAATAAGTCCTTGTTCAAATATTCTAATGTGCACGTCCACAGGGAGTGGGCATTATCATCAAAGCTCGTTTGTTCCAAACAGGCCCTAATTGAGGTAATATGCAAATCTAAAATATGTTTCAGCCTGTAGCAGGCAATACTTAAGTAACATTCCATCGCAGAAGCACATACTCACATATCACACACATACTTATGTGCTACATATTGAAAGATGTTTGCTCTTTTTTAAGAATCTATTGCATCTTATCAAACTTTTCAACCACATTTTAACGATCAGGGACCCTGTAGCCAGCCAGCCCTAGGTCTGCAATTTTGTCTTCAAAGTATGTATTACAAACTGATAGAAGGAAAACAAACATCTGTGTAAAAGACACTAATTTACTAGTGATTTCATATTAGAAAATATATAAAATAGATGCCTGGGGAAACCATAAGCCCATCGTGCAAGATCTCAGATTTTCATTTTTATGTTCAAAACTGGGCAGAGCCGGAGAGAGAAAAGAGCAACAGCAGAGCCTTAGGGACAAAAGGTTTGAGTGTGGGCGGCGTGGTTTTCAAGTTTCTAAATACATTTGTCTAACACAAGCCCAGGAACAATCTGTAATTATACATCAGTTCTCTCGGACATACCTTTCTCACGTCTGAACTCTTTGGTTCTGTTGTCCAGGTTATGATTCTAGAAACAGCAAGCCTTGTCTCACTAGAGTTTACAAAATCTGTTGGATCCATCTGTCTGGCCAGAGACTCAATGTATTTCAGGATTGCAACTTTGACCTGAAAGAGCCAATAACTATAAACATTAAGTACACTTGAACACAATTCTTATCAGGTGGCTAGAGAAAAGTAAACCCTGTTGAGAGGGATCTCCTTTCTTTCTCCTGTATTGATAGTTTCCACATGGAGCGACATCCAACAGGGAAAAAAGCATGAAATGACTGATTGGTAAGTCTGGGGACAGGAAGAAGCACACGACTCAGTTTTCTTCATTTTTAGGTGCCTGTAGAGAAGCGTGCTCTCCTCCTCACCTATGCTGCAAGACACTTCCAGGGCAGGAGCCCTTGCGAGAGGCCTGTGGGATTTCCAGCTCTGCCACTGACTGCAGGGTACGTTCAGCTCTAGTCTTGTCACACATTCTAGGCCATGTTCTGTAAGGCGGCATTTTCAGTAATCAAGCTGATGCTCTGCCCTAACTTCACCATCAACTTCTCAACTAGTTTTGACTTCAGGAGAAAAAGGTAATTATTTATTAGGCTCATCCTAAAACCTCCAAAAAGTTAATGATCAAAGAACAGACGATGAACGTGACCTAATTCAAATTAACACACATCCTCCCTCAAACTTGGTCTTGTTATTACAGGTATGATTTTCCCAACATGTAACAATTAACTTGCATAGCTTAGAATGTTAATATTAAACATTCCAACAAGATACCTATTTCCACACATAAGAACGTCTTAATTTTCTAGTTTAAATATTAATTGTGAAAAAGACTAATACTGCCCAAATGTTGGTGAGGATGTAGAAAAACTAGAGCTCTCATAAACTACTGGTAGGAATACAATATGGTACCACCATTTTAGTGGTTTCTAAAAAAGCTAAACATATACCTATCCAATGAACCAGCAAATACACTACTAGGTACCAAACCAAGAGAAACAGGAACATGTCCACAAAGAATCAAGCAAGAAGGCTCACAGCAGATTTATTCACAATAGCTAAACATGGGTCATGTACAAACAAAAGTAAATTTAAGCAAATTTGAGTTCCAGGGTTGAATTGTAACGACAAATAATTACTGACCTTGAGGTTTGGAGTTTGAGTTTGATCCACAATAAATCTCATCAAAATGTTAAATTGTTGATCAAATGGAAAGGAGTCCCTAGGTTGGTGGGAAAAAAGTGATTTTTAAAGAAATTTATTACAAAACAATATAAAACTATTTAACAAAGGCATACCATTGTAAGTTAATGTATGTAAAACCCTGTTCACATTTTTAACAGTGCTTTTTGTTTTATGTAAAGTAATACATGTTATACAGAAAATATGGAAAAAGGAAAATCTTTTTGCAGTCCCCAAACACAAACTGAACTTACTTTGAGTGGCTATTTTAAAAATTAAGACTAAGCAATAAACTAAGGAAGAAATTCCTACCCGCCTTTTTAGGGAGTTGCTCATTTTCCCTCCAGCTACCTTTCTGGATATTGCTTAAACATAAAAATTGCTTGTGATACCCAAATCTCATTTTTACATCCTGACTGGGCTGCTTACAGCTGACCCTGCTTAAACTAACCGTATCATCCTCTTTGGTCCTGGTCACTGCTTAGGCTCCCTGCACACCACAAAAGTGTGTCACCTGTGAGATGGCGACAAAACATTTCCCATCCAGCCACAAATCACACACAGAAGCCTGGGGCCTCAGGAGCCCCTTCTCTTGCTCCATTCTTGCCTTTGCTGATCTTATTTCTCGTGGTCATCATGCATCTCTGATCCAATCAAGTAGCCCTCAGGGACTCTTGGCCAGAGAGTCAGTGTTCTTTCTGTTAAAATGCTGTAATTACTAGTATTAGTTAAAAATTGCACAATGGGGCCCATGTAGAAAATGGTGATGTAACGTCCATATTAACAGGAAAGATAAATGCAAGGCAAATATCTACACTGCTTTCTTTGGACCCTCTTAGAGATTTTTCCCAATCTACATAAATGTAGTAAAATAAAGAAGTAGGTTTGACTCTTTAAAATGAAGCAAATAGAATTGATTTGAAAAGTAAATAAAATCATACAACAAAAATAAAAAGTACATGGCATATATTACGTACCAGTGTTATCCTACATATAATTACTAATAAAAAGTGAACTTGATCCAATAGTACCCTCTCCTCCCACCATCTAGCTGTACCCTGGAATCTCTGAAGATCACTTCGGGAAGGAAAGTATACTTTAGTATACCTGATTTAAGTGACTCTCAACAAACCACCCACAAAATGGCCCTCCCTTTTTCTGGCAGCATGGGGTGGATGGAGAAGACATTTCAGTAATGGGTGTGTATAATCGGGAAATACGCCATTGTTAGGCACAGGCAAAGGAAAGGAAACCGAGGCAGATTAGCACGCAAGTCTATAAACTGAGAAGCAATTCTCAGCCGTCACTAAAACCTCCTATTAATAGTCACTGACTATTCTAGATCAGCTTAAACAGCTGTGTATCTCAACTGCTGAGAAAAAGAAGGGAATATTAAAAATGCTTTAGGCACTCAGACCAAATCTACTGAGATGAGGACTCTTAAAGGGGCATCCAGGAAAACTAACAGGAGGTCACAATTGTATTCCTTAATCACCAAAGTTTAGGAATACAATCTTAATACTCCTACCATTCCTAAAAATATGAAATGGATCTGGTCATTGGTAAATTCACCTAAATTAAGTGACCTATAGGCCAAGTCTGGCTCACATGTGTTTTATTTGGCCTTCACAGTATCTTAAAAAATTCTCAAATATGTTGCCCAAATCCACATTTCTCACATTTCTTGAAAAGTCTGGTACTACTGAGCCCATGTCCCAATGTGGTCACAACTGGCCCCAGCCTTTCAAGAGCCCTCCTATCTACTCCACTCGATTATACCAGCTTATCAGCCTACCCCTCAGTCAATCTTGGCTAAACCTTTGTAATTCATTGGTATAATGGTGTACTGTAATGCCCCCTAACTCCACTAAGTTTAGCCATGCAAAGGAATGACAAAGTTTGAAGGCTTTATTGCAAATGTAGTACGTTACTTTGATTCTTATTTATTTTATTATTATTCTTTTCTTAAGGCCTCACCAACAGATGCAAGTACATTACTTTGAGTTCATTAAAAACCAGAAGGGAAATCTCTCTGGATAATAGATGCAATTGCATTTACACAGCAATGCAATTACACAGATTGACAGGGTCAAGGGCCAAAAGAAAACAGCTGGCATCATGGTGTAGAGGAACAGATGCATACTTTGAAGTCAGAGTCATGTAACAGCTGCACGCATAGGGAAGCTGGCAGGGCAGGATATGTTACTGTGCTAGTCAAGGGAGCCAGAGAGGGAAGAGAAGGCTCTAGTGCTATCCATACCACCCCCCTGCCCCAACAGGAGGTGAGGACACACACCCACAAGACAGCCTGCAACAATAAGAACAGACAACAGTGCAATTATCAGAAATCCTGGATTTTCGTTCCCAAACAGCCACTAACACAAAGTCAAGGTAAAGTGTCTGTTTCTCACTGATAAAATGAGCATCATCTTTAAGGTCCTTTCATCTTGAAATTCTATGATAACTAGAATTATTCCAGGTTGTAGTAACTTATAAAAGTTATTGCCCTGATAATTTTCTGAGCCACTTGGAAGTTATTCCTTTGTTCTTTAAAAAAGTTCACCAATTTGACATTCCCCCCCATCCATCTTCCACCAAATCACAACCAAGACATTACTGCAAAGTGTCTTCCGAGATCTTTTAATTCTCATACTTGCATACTGCACAGACGATAGAGAAGCAGTTTCTGAACAGCAGCAGCACGTAGTCTTTTCTAACTTTTCTGGGTTTCAGCAGTTTTTCTTTTCTCATAACAGCCAGAAGGGTCACAACTACTGCAAATGTGCTATTAATCTCTGAGCCAATGTACTGTCAATTTAGAGAATTTTCCTGGACCAATGGAAACTCTACATCATACACTGATAGAACAATTTCTAGTATGACTTGTAAGTTGAAGTAATAAAAACACTAAGGTCTTCAGAAAAATGTAAACAAATATTCTAAATGTTTTCTTTAAATGTTTTTTAATGAGAAGAGAATCAATTTCCAAAGTTTTACATTTGTTTGTTATGTATGTCTTAAATACTCACAAAAGTAATATCAACACAAGGAAGATATGGTATTTCATTTCATGGATTGGTGAGACATGTCAACAAGTATGTCAACAACAGAAAGTGAGAACTGAGTAAAAGATATTCAAGTGAGTGACAAACGCCATGGGTAACAAAAGAGAATGGCAAAAAGTCACCTACAAGTATCCTGTAACGTCAAAACTAACTCTTAAACACTTACCTTGTGACATCTAGAGCCTTTTGAACTTTTGCTTGCACAGATCCAAGTAAATCTGCTCCCATTTTCTTAAGTAATTGTGTGAGAAGAACAAAAAGCCAGTCTTGTAAATCATCCTTATGAATTATTATAAAATCCACAAGAGTCTCCAAAAACATACTGAAAACCTAGACACAAATGAAAACCAAGTACTTCACATATTGAATTCACAATTTCCTCCAAAGTCTACAAAACATTAAAAATGCCCATACGTGCTTTGCCCAGACTCTTGTAACTTAGGTTAACACTGTTAACAACTGTTCCTAGTACAGAAGGAAAATGTAGTGCAGAAAACAGATAAAGGAAAAAGGAATGGAACTTACTCTCTGTTGTGAATTCCACCGCAAACGAGGCCATGCAACAAAACAAATTCCATGTTAGTTGGCAGTGAATTAATACCATTTTCATGCATTTAAGAAAACCTGAAAAGGCTACAAACCAATGAAATATTCTCTCCTCCCTCAATATACGTCTTTAAAAAGCAGTACAGAGATAAATGAACTTTTCTGAGTTTAATCATGAAGGCTTTTCTTTCTTAAACAACAACAAATCCTTGTGTCCTAATTCTAGAGTATTCTTATTCACTATCTAGCAGTCAACACATACTATTATAAAATGAGCCAATAAAAACACCTACTCACTAGTGTGTAGCTATTGCTTTTCACGTCAGATATTTTGATGTACACCAATTTCAGATATCATAAAGTAACAGATGGTTACAGCTTAGAATAAAAGATATTAACATAATTCTCATGCTGTTGTGTAATGATTTTTGCTAAGGCAAAATAGAGTGCATAGTGGAATAGCTCTGAACCAATTTCAGAGAGAAAAGTAGCACTGAGTATCCCTACCTTGCTAACGAAACTTGTTCTACTTGGACAGCCCATGAACCCTATACCGCCTCATTTCTAGTAGAGCAACTATTCACCACCAGGGGTCTCCTGTGAGACAGCTCAGGAAAAAGGTCATTTAGCTGTGGGATTCCTGGCTTAGCTTACAGGCAGCTAAACAAATATTAACTAAACTGAGACCTCCAAACTCACTGTACAAGAGACTTCTGATGGAAACAAATTTCCTTCTTTATCCTCACATTCTGCTTCTGAATCAGCAATCTAGGGGTGACAGGTAACAGAAATTTATCAATGTTCTAAACCATCTAATAGTGCTTATGTTTTAAATCTTAAGAATCTAATTATGCTTATGCATTAAATCTTACTGCTTTTAACACTACCTTAGAGAAAAATCTTGATACATTTTATCTTTGGATATCTATGTGGCCTTTAAAGGCTTAAGCTCAGCCTTTCCTGAATTTTTATTGAGACAGAATCTCACTCTGTTGTTCAGGCTGGAGTGCAGTGGTGTGATCTCAGCTCACTGTAACCTCCGCCTCCCAGGTTCAAGTGATTGCCCCCCGAATAACTGGGATTACAGGCACACGCCACCATACCCAGCTAATTTTTATATTTTTAGTAGAGACAGGGTTTCGCCATGTTGGCCAGGCTGGTCTCGAACTCTTGACCTCAAGTGATCCACCCGCCTCGGCCTCCCAAAGTGCTGGGATTACAGGTGTAAGCCACCGTGCCCAGTGGATTTTTATTAATATTGTTAATGTTGACTTTGCTGTGAGGGTCATAGCAGAAAGTTTAAGACATGCTTCAAGAATGACACTGAGTGAGGAGAGTTGTGGGGAGAGAGGAGGAGAACCCTTGCATTCACTCCCCTTTACGCTCATGAGCACCTCAAAAGGCTGGGGCCATATCTTCTTTTCTATATCCCCGCCCCAGAGCAGTTACTCAGTAAATGTTAAATGACTGGGTGAATGAATGGGTGGATGGATGTTTGATATTTCAAGGACAATTCCTATGAGGAAGCAAGGATAGGAAAAGAAAGATGATGATGACTAACTGGCTGGGCTCTCTGGCCGCCACGGGTTTCTTTCTTCCAGGAAGACTCGGAGGAGGCCATCTTTACTAGGAAAACTAGTTGATCCTGCATGTCAGCATTAAAGATTTGCTTCTGCTCATTTAAGGTTCTATCCATTTCCACACCTTACTTTTGTCCTTTATCTACCCCTTTCCCTAAATCTTCATCCTGCCTTCCACTTTCTTCCTCCAAAAGCATTTAATAGTCTCTAAGGGCCTCCTCCCAAACAATGGTATTTAAAATCTAGACCCCAAGTAAATTTCTGTGAAGAGTCCTTCTCTCACCCCTTTTCCACCACCCCTGGAAAGTGTTCTGTCCCATACGCATGGGCGTTTCCCCCTCAGCTGGGACTCTCTCCTCAGAAAAAGCATTCCTCAGGCTTAGTGTTCCCTATGGCCCTCAGGAGGTGTGGGCACCAGCTAAGTGATCACCAATTCAGCAAGATCCTATTTTAAGAAATAATCTGGTTTTTCAATAAATCCATTAAATACTTTCATTTTTTCTATCTTGTCCTATACAGACATATTCTACATGGGATACAAAAATAATTATACACTTATTTTCTTCACTATATACTATAACATTAAAAAATGCATGATATTATAATACGATCTTATACCCTAGCACCTACCTCACTGTTTGGCTAACAGGAGACATACCGAAATATTTGCTGAATGTAAGAAAGACCATCTGATTCTCTCCCTGATAACTCTTACTTGAAGCACACTTATTTAACTTGAAATTTTATGCACATTTAAGTTTCCAAGAATTCTGTTTTTGAAAGATGTAACATACACTAGTGCTGAAACTGGTGTTACTCTGTAAGGTCGGAACTGCACTATCAGGAATTCTCTCTCATTCTTGGATAGTATATCACACAGAGCACACAGACATGCAGGGGGAAAGACAGGGCAGGCATGACTTCCAGACCTACCTTGCTATGAGGGTCAGCAAACATCCGGGTGAAGATCTCACACAACCTTTTCAGTTCAACTCGACTAGAAGAAATAAAACAGAATTCAATGAATTGACTACTTATATTATTTTTGAGACAGGGTCTCACTCTATCACCCAGGCTGGAGTGCAGTGGTGCGATCATAGCTCACTACAGCCTTGATCTCCCAAGCTCAAGCATTCCTCCCACTTCAGCCTCCTGAGTAGCTGGGAGGTGCACACTACCACACCTGGGTAATCTGTTTGATCAGTCAACTACATAAGCTTTACATAATTTATATCTACATAACAAGGTTTTTTTTCCACAAACTCTTATTTAATTTGTAGCTAAATCAAATAGGAATACAAAACCAGAGATCGGTTCTCATTTTAAGATGAGGAAACTAAGACTGAGTGATTTACTCAAGGGGACACATCTGGAAGTGACAAAGCCATGCACCAAAATCTTTTTCATTTTATCTCAGCTGTGTCTTCCACATGCCACAATTGAAAAGCAACGGAATAAAGTTTAAAAAGCATGTCTATCCTGCACTGTAATGAGAGGTACAAAACAAAAAAGGCAAAAAACAAAACAGCATGTGTTTCAGGGTCAGACAGACCTGGATTTTAATCTCAGTTCTGCTGTAAATAAGGTACTCTGGGCCGGGTGCAGTGGCTCACACCTGTAATACCAGCACTTTGGGAGGCCAAGGCAGGTGGATCGCCTTAGGTCAGGAATTCAAGACCAGCCTGGCCACCATGGTGAAACCCCGTCTCTACTAAAAATACAAAAATCAGCTGGGGATGGTGGCGAGTGCCTGTAATCCCAGCTACTCAGGAGGCTGAGGCAGGAGAATCGCTTGAACCCACAGGCACAGGTTGTAGTGAGCCGAGACCACGCCATTGCACTTCGGCCTGGGCAACAAGAGCGAAACTCAGTCTCAAAAATAAATAAATAAAATAAATAAGTACTCTGCTATTTTTAAGTCTGGTTTTTCCTTATTGGTCAAACAGGGTAAGGATCATGTCACGTGGCTGCTGAGAGGAAGAAAAAGGATAACACATTGTACCTTCTACTGTACCTAGGACAAAGCAAACATTCATTTCACATTGGTGCCCTTTGTCTTTTCTGATCCTTGACAACCACCAAGTCCCACGGTTGAAGTTTGACAGAAGGGTCGTCTCTTCCACAAATCATCCCTGATTAATGCCTTCTTATGTGGATGAGACAGTTGGTCCAAGGACCCTTCAATATTGTTAACGATGTAACCTAGATTAGACCAACGCCAATCAACAGATTCCTAGAAATTATTCAATAGGTACTTGGTGAACACTAAGAATCTACAAAGTGGGACCACCAGGATTAAACAGATTCTTGAGGAACAATCGTGACAAACCATCTTCTGTTTCTGACAGGTGACCAGAGCATCACAGGATGCCTGTGTTTCAGACAAAACTTCCTATATCGCCTTCATGAACAGATGAATAATGGGGGGCAGGTATGAGTACAGGAGGCTGGAGTCAGACGGCCTGAAGAGCCACAGTGAGAGCTGGGCAACTTATCAGCCAGTGCTCACTTAGCCTTACAGAACCCAAGAGGGATGCCCATCTATGACCATTAACTTATCTTACAAAAACTATCCAAAGGATAAAGTAGATTGCATTTCATGTATTCTAAGTTGCCCATTTCTTAGTTCCCATTCACATCTCCTTTCTCTAATTTTCACATCTCTGTAATTGAGTAATCTTATAATCAATGACATTTTTGTGCTGTCACGGTTTAATACGCGTGACATTTATTAAAGGGCTAAAAATAAGGGTGTGTGTACGGTGTCTAGATTTGACAAAATACGGTATAACCACATACTTTTTCGGTATGTATAATACACGCTTACTTTAGAAAATTCATGAAACAGAAACAAAGAAAAAAGCAAAAACAATCCAGTTAAAAGACAATGCTGTTACTAGAGTGCTCCATTTTGTTATCTCCTCACTATGTACATTTATAAGCTACATATATGCACATGCGCATCAAAATTTTCCAGACTAAGACTGATAACATCCTATCTAGGACTCTAAAGTATAATGAACCATACTAACCTGCAGGGTTGTTTTATTTATTTATTTTAAACCTGAATTGCATACTGTACACAGATATTTCTCAAATAACATCTACTGGACAAATATGAAACAGAAGGGAACCAAACATGGGGTCTTTTTTTGTTTGTTTGTTTGTTTTTTTGACATGGGGTTTTGCTCTGCCACCCAGGCTGGAACGCACTGGTGTAATCATAATGCACTGCAATCTCCAACTCTGGGATCATGTGATCCTCCTGCCTCAGCCTCCGAAGTATCTGGGATTACAGATGCATGTCACCACATCTGGCTAACATTTTAACTTTTTTGTAGAGATGGGGTCTCCCTTTGTTGCCCAGGCTGGTCTCAAACTCCTGGACTCAAGTGCTCCTCCTGCCCTGGCCTCTCAAAGTGCTGGGATTACAGGTATGAGCCACTGTGTCCACCCTAAATCTTTTATCAGCCTAATAAGTTACAGAATATTTGCCAGATGGGCTGGGTGCGGTGGCTCACGCCAGTATTCCCAGCACTTTGGGAGGTAAAGGTAGGCAGATTACGAGGTCAGGAGTTCGAGACCAGCCTGGCCAATATGGTGAAACCCTGTCTCTACTACAAATACAAAAATTAGCCAGGTGTGGTGGCGCAGCTACCCAGGAGGCTGAGGGAGAAGAATCACTTGAACCCGGGAGGCGGAGGTTGCAGTGAGCCAAGATCGTGCCAACTTTGTAACTCGCAGCCCTGGCACCATAGAGCGAGATTCCATCTCAAAAAAAAAAAAAAAAAAAAAGTGAAAGAAAAAAAGGATATTTGCCAGATATTTCAAAGCCTCTGGATGGCAGGGACTGTCTCTTAGTCATCTTGGTACCTTTAGTGCCTGTTCCTGCAAGCGGACCTCTTGAAAACTCCATTAATTATAGGAAAACCCTGTCAGCCCCTGAAGAGTCCAACAGGGGATTCAAACTTAGCTCACATTCTTGCTGTGGTCCTCACCTCAGTGTTCTTTGGCTCTTCAGTAAGTTCTGCAGGCCCAGAAGCCCTTCTTTCCTTTCTGACCAGTTTGAACTAGCACAGTGGTTGAGAACTTCTGCTACATCTTCAGTCTGCCGCAGGTAATGGGGAATGCCACCATTCCTGGAGCCATATGAGCGCTCAGAGCAAACACTTGAGGCATCACTGTTGGCATCATCGTCAGAATACATTCCATACGGCTCATATCTCCTCCTCACAGGCTTCTTCTGACAGGTCCAATGAGGGATGGGAGTGATTGAGGAAGAAATAGAAAGGTGAAATGACCGTGAGTCATACCAAACAAAATCTACAACAAAGAGTTAAGTGTAGAAAGACATATGCACACACACACTTTTCCTGTGCTTACAGATTATGGAAATACAAACAGAAAAGCAGTTTTCCATTAGGTAAAATAACTAATAAGCAAAGCACTCTGTAGTAGAGAGGAAAGAGCGTGGCCTCTAGTACAGTGTGTGGACTTTACAGGAAGACAGACAGATCACAATCCTGGTGCCAACACTGACTGGGCTGCATGACTTCTGAAAGCCTCCTAGGCCTTTTGCTTCGGTTTCCCCGTCTTTAAGACAACAATAATTATACCTATCATACAGGCTTGTTGTGAGGATTAAATGAAATTATATGTTAAATATTTCAGCTGGGCACCTGGCACAATGCAAATACGTGCAGCCAACAGCCCCTCCGCAGTCAAAAGCAATATATCTTGAGCACGGTCTATGTGAATATTTATGTTTCCTGAAAAAGTCAGAATTTGAAATGTCAGTGGCAGAAGCAGCCCATGTAAAAGGATTCCTAAGTCATCTCCCTCTGTTGCCCAGGCTGGTTTCTAACTCCTGGCCACTTTTATTAAAGACTTAGGGTTTTGAAACACAAATAGGCTTCTCTGAAAGTAGACTATAATACCTAATTTATTCATTTCTCTGACCCTGAACACAAAACTGCTATACCCATAAATATGATATAGCAGCAACTATATAAAATTGATAGAAGCAAAACAAATAGCTATTGGCTTAAACCATACAAATACACTTCTCTAATAATATGGCATATTATTATTAATCCAACTTGCTCAGGACTGTTCTGCCTTAAGCCTATTGTCATAATTATTAATAGCATCTCCCTTTTAATCTCAAAAGCATTTTTGTTTGGATAATAAATTATATGGTCACACAAAAACCAGATTCCTAAAATAAGAAAAATATTGATAAATCCATTCATGAAATCATGACGACGTAAGAATAGGCACAAATTGAGTTAATAAAATGAAACACTACTAGGCGAAGGAGCAGAGCTTGACATTCGAATACTAAAACAGATGTACATGAAAGGTGACTGACTCCACCATGAATAAAGACAACAATGATGGTGAATCACTGTTATGATTCAGCAAAATCATTTTTCAGATCAGAATTTCTATACTATATTTTTTGGTTTTCACTAGCTTCTGAAAGAAATATACTTGCAACAGAAGAAATAAAGTTGTAAAACAAAAGTTAAAGCACTGGTACCTTGCTCCTGGAGTCTCCTAACAGCTGTAGGCAGGAAAATATTGAAGGATGGGGAAAAAGCATAGAGAATTATGTCAGAAGCATATGTAGGGACTGTTCTTGCAACAAAAGTGTACAGCAAAACATATCTTAGCAAACCAAAAACACAGGTTAGCAAGCGTTTCATATCAAGCGAACAATAATAAAGAATGCTTTCAAAATGGCATTTCCTAACCCTCCTCCATGTCTCAGAAGACCTTCTGGTAACTTGCTGTAATTCTTTGCTAAAACTTTTCCCATACCAGTGAGGCAAATCTCTAAGGTCACCATTAATTCTATCTATTCCTCTGAGACATTCTGTCTGGCACCGTGGTGTCTATTCAGTGAGGCAAAGATTCTGTACCATTTCTGTGTTTTCTCTTCAGAAGCAGGTCACTTGGAGAGACTAAACAGTTTGGACAAAAAGTAACAAGGGCAGTATGAATCTAATGGGAGCCAGAGCTCAGAGAAAAGCTCAAGTCAAGTCAAGCCAAAGCTCAAACTCTCAAGTCCTATTCTGCCTCCTAGAACTTTACACACAGTCCCTTATGCAGTTCTTTAAAGAACTAAGAAATTCCCCTGACTTAAGTGGAAATCTCAACTAAGGGCTTCACATCCATCATTTCCCACCCCTTTGACCTCCACTTCCCAGGGTCTCTGAACGAATAAGATACAGATTCTAAATGCTGCAACTTGGAAGGACAAACAGTTTCAGAGAATTCTGTTCCAGCTCTTGACTCTTAAAGCCATAGTTAGAGCAATTACCCTGAACTCTAGCACCTGCCAGAAAAAAGTCTTTCTATACATAAGGTTGAGGAATACACATGGCCAGGCAGCTTGCCTACAGGAAAAGCATTATGAGAGTAGCAAACTGCTTGCTCACAGATACTTGTCAAAGAACCTGACTGAGCAGGAATAAATGAGGGCGAGACAAGAAGGAACGAAAACTGGAATCACCGTAGCCATAAACTGTAAAATGTTGATCTGACAAAACATGGCTGGATTAAAAACTTAAGAATCTGAAAGCAGGATATTACATACTTTTTTCCTTTACAAGAGAATAAATCTTAAAACAGCAAGAGCAAGGCCAGTGATCAGACAGTTCTAAAGAACATCCATTTCAAATGCTGAGCACATAAACCGGAATATGCAAAAGACTGTGTGACTAGCTGAAACGCATCTTTAAAAAGCAATTTGACCACAAGCTGATTCTACCAAGGAACTTTTTGGTATAACCAAAAAAATTAAAGGATCCATGATCATTTATGGTTTTCAGAGATTACACTATAATGATGCAAAAACATACTCCACCATTGCTTCACATCCTCAAAGATTTAGGAAAAACAACATAAAATCAAACGGACAAGATAATAGAATAAACGCAAGATTTTCAAACCTCAAACTCTATTACCTATTACAATAATAAAATGTCTAGGTTATGCCATCAAAGTCTGTAAAGCAATAGAAGCAACAGAATGGAAAAAAGGAAGTGCCAGGGGAAAAAAAAAAAAAAAAAAAACCACACATTGCATTTTAGAACTCTTATGAAACGCAATGGACAGCTTTCTAATTAGTTTGGACCAAACATCAAAGGCGACTTGCCTCGTATGAGGGGAGAAAGCTAATAGATTAATAAGATTCAACTCATAGCTACAGCTTCTCCATAGAGTTCCCCCTTCCCGTCATGATATCTCAGAAAGCTTTTCAAGGTAATAAAAGTGAACTCACCTGCTTTGAAACACCTTTCTGCATCACAAAAGTGCTTATTGTGGCAACAAATAGCATGGTAGAATGGTGAGCAAGCTGTAACGCGCTACCACTGGGTAGAGGGGCAAGGGGAGGTTGGAAATTGGGCCAGATATTTCAGTGCATTCTGATCTAAACTTTTAGGTGGGAAGAGGCAGTATCTCTTGCAAGGAATTGATGATAATTTCAAATTTAAATGCTACATCTTTTTGCTTTTGTTGTTTATAAAGAATAGAATCGAATTTTGAGCTTGGCCAGGGCCAGGCAAGAACATACCTTCGTTCCTTGCAAGCCCATGAGACCGTTCTGAGCCACCAAGCTCACCACGATCTATAAAGCTGCATGAGTTGCTGATGCTTTGGTAATAAGGACCCACAGGCTAGTGTGATAGGTGGTAAACGAGAAGGTCAGGTTTGGGAAAGTACTCATCTGCATTCTCTCTGGTCTTTAATAAGAACACAATTCCAACAATCAGGTTATTAAATTCATCTTTTGACACTCTTTAAAATATCGTGGTACTGTATGGGTAAATTTATGATTGTTAGTCTGGTTTGCTCCCCTTAAACTTTTATCTCTGGCATGCATTATAGAGTGCAAATGGACTTTACAGAAAATATTTAGCGTCAAGTATTTCTTAGTCGGTGTTCTTCAGTATCAAGGCTTTGAATGACACCTGGACTTCTCAGAGTGTCACTGGGCTTCTTTTTGTTCTTTTTAGACCATGTTTGATAAATATAATATATTATTTATTTGTTTTTGTTGTGCG